GGAGAAAGTGCAAAGTAGTGAAGTGGTATGGTCGGACGTGAGAAGCATCTATGAGCCAACAAATGGAGCAGGTTATGGCAGTCACACAAATTCATTTAACCAGCAGAAGCCATGTCCGAATGGGTCATTTTCCAAACATCTAAGGACATTGAAAGATTTGCTTTCACGTTGTGAAGAATTGAAAACCAAATCGGTAGGTCCGCATTTATGGTCGTTCTTGTCAATCCAGGTTTCATTCAATCGATTGCTGATCATGAAATTTCAAACCTAGAGAGTGAATTGGTCTTACTAAAGTCAATCGTTGACTCATGTATGCAGCCTCAGTGAGTTTTTTAGACTTCATGTAGCACCTATTGCCAATGCGCGTCAAACGTCATCGTCCAATTACCATCTAAGACGTTACGCTTATTTTAGGCGGTTTACCCTGATGATTGCTTTGGTTAAATGAGTATTGATTTCTGAAACCAAAAGACGGGAATATTGATTATATATGTAATTAACATCAAAAATTCTCCAAATTTGTATCGGACTCAGACTTTATTTTATCATTATGCTTTAAATTTCGTTTCGTTGTCCAAGCACTGTGTTTCCTGTATTTCATAATAGCCACAGGTCAATTCTCTTCTTCCCTACCATCTACAATCTCTTGATAGTTTAATGAGTAGCATGTCCTTTTATGTGCTAATGTCAACTCTGCACGCAAAGCTTCGCGGGACGCCATATATTGTAAATATCAACTAATAAACCGTAGAATCTCAGTGGCGTCACTATGAGTAGCTTTCAAATAAACAAAAGTCCTTTATCACGTTGGCCATAGCCGAAGTCATTGACGTTACAAAATCAGAGCTAGTTCAGTGGAATTCAGTTTCACACTTACACACTAACGTTAGATGCAACTAACTCAACTTAGCCCATCAACATAACAATTGAGGTCTGCTTTGTATTTACTATTGGTAAAGAAGCGCTGAATCAGGCCAAAATTAAATCATCAAGTCCCGCATTAGTTTTCGTACTTTAGGTATGCCAATAGCCCATGGCTGTAACATCACTAAGGCATATATTTCAACTGTGAGTTGTTGTTATCCATTATTCCCACATCTTTCTGGTAGGATTTACGACAAATTCACAGTATTATACTTCTTCATCTATGTTTTGGTCCCTGATGAACCAGACATTTAAAATTCACAAAAAACGCTTAGATAAACTCCCTTATGCTGTAAATATTTATTTTCACAATAACCTATGTACTTCAACAGAATCTTTGAGTGTTAGACTAATCGACCAAAATTTTAGAAAAGTCTCTATTCGTGGTTTTAATCCATATTTCTGCACTTTGACGCCACAGCATTCATCTTTAATGTAAGGGAAGATTAGATGCTAACCGGTTGGTTGTGGGTGTCATCAGCAAATTTTGGTGATTAAAATTTTATCTTCAATTGTAGGATTTCTATTAATAGTGACTTCAAATGTATGAGGACTTACGTAACGCGATTCTCGATTTTTTGCATTGGCATACTTAATGTTCTGCGTAGTGCATTGCAACTCCACCTCTAGACAAAATGGTTTAGGCGATGCTACAATTTTCAATCACAATAATCGGGTTCAAGGGAATTCTCTGCACAATCGGTTAACTCTGAGCAAATGCAACGCATTATTGCTCATACCAGTACCTTGTCGGCGTGCATTGATAAGCCAAAGAAGATCCCTGTGTGTGTGTGAGAGATAGAGTGATGATTGGTGAGTTGTCAATCTACGGAAGCGAAATGGGGATGTAACGAACGCCTTGCATACCACAGGATTAGGTTGTAATCGAAATACACTTGATTTATTTTCCAATATTTACTGAGGCTTCGAGCAATGGAACTGGCTTCACCGTGAATATTATTACTAATTCATTGTTTTGTTGCGTTTTGTTGAAACAACTGCTTGGTGTGTCGTGGTGGTCGTGTCGAAACGTGCACCATGTTTTTTTGCAGCAGCCTGAGTCTTCGCGAAAGGACGACGTCAAACCTGACGCTGGATTCGAGTGTGGTGGACATTCCGTAAGACCGAAAATTCAGAATTCAACTCACGCCTCATCTAAGGTGAAATTTTTGCTCGTAAAACGTCCTGTTGTGTTCTCGTGATGCTGAAACATGTTGCTCAAGTTCTTCTCCATGATTTTTTTCAAGATTTTAAGCTGTCTCCTGGATACTCGTAGCTTCAAATATTTTCTACATTCCACATAACATCGTGCGAGTCTAGCAACATCCTTATTAGAAATGTCCTCAGTGACTGCTGAAGAATGGCCCGGAGTCTATTACAGCTTTTACTTCCATTTTAGGTCACTGGAGGAAGCCTTGCTTGTGCCTCCGGTTATGCAGTTGTGCATTGCATCTACTGTAGCATTGATTTTCCGACTCTGGATTATTATATTAATCACAAGAATAGTATGGAGCATTCAGAAAAGCTGGTGCAATTCAATGATGCAAGTTTTTGTTTTCATTATATATGAATGGTCAAATTCGTAGGTTCCAAGTCTGATTATTGACAGTATTTGAAAAGGCTGAAGGGAATAGTTTGCTGTTTGGAAAACTGGTGTTGTGCGTGAGTGATTAGAGTTACCATATCACTTGGGATAACTTAATTCAGATTGCTAATGCATTTGGAAATTTGGGCTTTTGAAGACAATCCCGATACGATAGATTACGAATGTCGCACGTGACGTTAATTGCAGCAAATCTACTGCTAACTACGAAATATCTATCATTATTTGTTATCATTGACACTTATCACCGCACTTTACATGAATGTTCTCTCTCCAGTTGTGACTACGTGGAAAACGCTAAACATTAACAAATCCCACTTTTACTATCAAAGCTTTTTATCAAACGATGCCATTAGCAAAATCAACCATGAACATGGACATTACCGTTTTCAAACTTCTCGTACCTCTATTTTGATAGCTACTTCCTTAACTTGCAATATAGATCAAACACTGGTTTATTTACATACAAAGGCTTCAAAATTTAAAGCTCTGAAATGCTCTTGCCAATGAGTGTTTCTCGGCGAGCAGAAGAGTCGCTTACGGGTCTTCTTTTTTCTACAACAGCGGCTTCGTGAAGAAGAAGACAAAACCCGACCCAGACGTGGATCAAATGTGTTAGTGCCTCACTTATTAATTTAACAAATTGCTATCGCGTTTTAGTCTTTACTTTGCACATGTGACTGGCTGTCATTGGCTAAGTATTTTACAAACTACCTTCTAGGAGGCGAAATTCGGGACATAATTCTTCATCTGATATCGATTAATCGCCGTTTTGCTATTTGCCACCCTAGCAACAGCTTGGCCGCTTTTGTTGCTAACTCCTTAAAATAAATACATTGCTTTGACTCAACAAAGACCACTAACGTACAGAAGCACCAACCCTTGATGTTAATTTATTCTTAAGAGCGTGGTTTGATACAAAAATTACCCAATTTAGGTTTTTTAGTGCTTTTGCCACCAATCAGGTGTATACCATGCACAAACCTTGCTGTCCGAGCTAAGTCCTCACGAGGGTAATCGTATTTAGTTGATATCATAATTTTCCTCAATGACTCAAATGGTCGAAGTGTTCGAGTTCATATTCGTACGTACGCATTAGTAATAAAACGTTGTGTCGTTCTTAAACGTTTCTATTTATCTCCGCGAAAGGGCGTCAGTGACCAAGTTACCACATTAGTAAAATGGAAATGTGGAAGCAAAAATTGCCAAATCTAGTCGCGCAAACAAAGCTCATGCGCGTGTGCCATGCTTTGATGGCAAGGACGTCTAACATGTGATACACTTAACTAGTCCTCTGTATGAGCCTGATTCCTAGCTAATCGCACAAGTTCACACCTGCTCAAGACCATCACGGCTATTGACTTGGCTTCGAGGAAGACAAACCTTACTTCCACATTCCTGCCAGTGCAAACACGAAATGGTCTAGCTGCGTTTATTTCGATTATACATTAGTTCCTGTAACCGTTCTCAAACTTCATGCAAATTTCAGGATCACATTTTTGTATAAAATAGGCGATCTTTCCTCGAAGAAGGTCGTAGGGTGATTCATGACTTTTACCAGGATCAACCTTTTGCCATTCAACCTACCGTGAAGGGAACTAAACACGATAATTTGAAGGTGGCAGGATAGGGGGAGCACACTGGGTGCTGGAGGACTTACCACTTTATTGACCCCTGTTTTTGTAGTCTGTTCGGCGACCTGCATTCTCAACTCAGTCTAGATTGACAAATTAATGTACTCCGTGAAAACTAGACAAAACTGTTGCTACTTGCTTATAACGTTTTAAGTCGCTTAACAGGTAATTCGATGCAATCAGTCTTAGACCTAACTCTGTTTCTATGCCTACGGAACTCTCTTAAATACATAGTGCCTGATTTGATCCTTTGTCAATACCATATCGGAAATTATTTTTTTCGGTAATACGCTCCAAGATTTGAAAAAGTAGACACATTAATGATGGATGGAGGTAAATTTCCAAATACATATACGCGATTGAATAAATCTTACTCGTACATACCAAACGATCTGTTTAAGAAACAGACGAGTGAAGTTATGTTGCAAAATCAAGTGATTGGCTCAAAAAAATCAAATGACCGTAACGTGTGAAATTTTTTTGCGATCTACCATGATCCACACTTGCGTGATGAGGCTACCTTTCAGCCTCTTAAATAAATGCCTTCTTTTTGAAAATTGACAGATTCAACGCGTTTCCCTTCTCAGACTGTACTTTTGGCGGGCCCTCTGTCCAAATTATTTCCATCTTATAATCATAGAATCAGTTGGCAATCGCCCTCCAATATATTCAATAAATCCACCAAGGTAGAGTACTAAAGGGTGCTTCCAACTGTTCGAAAACAAACATGAGCACATGTATCAAGCAAATGTTGCTCAATCTCAATGAGGCCACAGGTTATAGTGTTTAATTTAACAATGAATTTTGCTCCAATTGGAAGACGGGAAACACCGACTTCCTTAAAGGTTGCGACCGTGGAACGAAAGGTGTCTCCGTAAGACCTCGTCGTCATCAAAGACTGCACCGCAAACATGACATTGCCTTGGCCTGAGGGACACGTGTTGGGTGAAGATAACGCGTCTTCCGTTTTCATCAGGCTTAAATAAAACAAAGAAATCACAATTTCAAGTCATCTTGTACACTTACGTCGGGGAGTTACCATCATATGCACCTATGCAAAATTATGTTTCTACAACTAAAGCCTTTTTGCTATTGAAATAAATAACCATTGCTGTGTCTATGAGGTCTCACTAGCTAACTTTTCATACTTGTTTTGAGGCTACTTGTGCACTTATAATATTTCAGTCTAGGCATTCACGTTACGCTGTGTAGAGATTAAATCATTGCTGCCAGAATGCTAGCTACTCAACACGCTTCTCCTGATTGTAAATTCACTTTACAAACTGAGACTGCATGATTAGCCTCGAGTGTAGCGCAGTAATCATACTCCTTGTTGAGAGTCGTCACGGTTACGGGTTAGCAACTCACGGGTAAAGCAAGACCGCAGTTAACAGTGAAACCTAAAACCACACTGCTGAGGTAACTACAAATTACACCTTCATAGGCGGAAACCGCTCACCACTATGGAAAATTTGCATCTATGACGAGCGTCGGCTAGCTAGTGTCTTACTAACAGTTACTTCATTGCAATTACTGTTTACTGCAAATTCATTGTTTTAATTTGAAGCATTTTTACCCACCACCCCCTTTCCAGCCCAACAATGTTCACATCACGGCTCTGTTTAACTATCCTAGGGCGTTTTTATCTGAATACACATCCAAAGGGTCTAAATTAATGGGTCCCAGTGTCTGGCAATGCTTACCAAATGTCTGCAACGCAATAATTTGATGACAACACGCGAACATAAGATGTGTGATGACATTCTAAAATCTTCATTGTCATAGAGGCGCAATTACTATCTATATTCAAGAGACACAACGCCTACCGTGACAGCTAACTTCTCAAAATAACTGCCAGTATTTAAAGTAATCATAATGATAGGTGGTAGGTGGTTAATTACTTCAGGTTGGGTTCGCGTAGTCGACGGACAAAGCACCTTGTTTGAGTGGCAGTTAACGGTCGCAAAAGCTACTGTAAAATCACCATGATGTTGTCAGAAAAACTCTTAATTCAAATTGTTAATCGCCCGGTTCTACTGCCATTATCACTCTATCCTACGGATGACGGCCAAGTGAGTTGGGGTTTCCTCAAAGGGACACATTGACACCTCTAGTGATAAGCCTTTTTCTTTAAACAAATCACCCAGTTCAAACTTACTTTGTGCAATGTGGGCACATAAACAGCAATATACTCGCCGTCTTGAATAACGGAATCGCTTGCCAGAGGAGGCGCAGCGGCATAAATTGCATTGTCGATTGTTTCAAGTGGCTAAATGGTTGGAAAAGTATTATATTCAGTGTGGACATTTCAAAATATGCTTTTAGCGTACACACACACTTAATGGGGTTTAAGAGGGATTTTAAAGAAGATTAAGAAAGCGAAAAAGAGGAAAATCACGAGCCTGCCTACTTTAAACGCTCAAGCAGGTTGCGGTTGCCGCAATAGCTACTACGCTCGGTGTCATCAAAACTCCCAGATGTTAACTCAGTCAGCTCTATTTTCAGTGAACACTCGAAGGGACTTCGTTGTACGGAGCGGTCTTCGACGATGCCACTGGCATGTTGACGACACCCCACCATTAGCAGCATCAAATAAGGCTAGCAAGAGCAAACGCAGACAACTTCCTGCTCCCCCGGTCTCCTACTTTTGATAGTGAGAGCAATTACTTGAATCCCAACTGAATTTTACCAAGGGCTTTAAAGTAGTGGACGGTCCTGATACGTGATGGATTTTTGCCCAAAACCAATTTCCTTTCAGAGGCTAAATGGCCCTACAACTCAGCGGGCTATGGGAATTCCGGAATTTTCACACGCAATTTTAACCGACAACTTGTACTACGAAACAGACACTCCGGTGGTTGTGTCAACGCTGTTTGTGTTAAGAGCTAAAGTCCATATAAAAAAAGCATAAAAAGTTAAATTGTTTTGAAAATTTACTTTCGAAATTGTTGCGGTTCGTTGGGCGTTCTTCAAGTTATTTTGCTGAAAAAAAAAATAAGCAGGAGGAAAGTCAAAATCAAAGCTTGTACCAAACGTCGTCTACTGTAATTCCACAAGAAGCGTGTAAAAAAAGGTTTTGAGATTGACTCAGGTATCCACTGACAGAACAATCACTGCCAGACCCATCCACGCTTTCCCGTGACTAAAAACTACAATTAACCGTGATAATAGCTTAAACTTGAGTAAAAAGAGGAAATTTCCAGAACAGAATGATTTCTGCAGCGTCAAATTACTGCTTTCTCGTTGACCACTTCACCCAAGGGCGACGTTTTTGCATGAATCGGACTACGATTTCTTTATAAGCATTCTATAAAATAGCGCACCGCGTAGCCAATTGTGCAACTACAACAAAATGACTTGATAGTCCTCGAAATTCTGACCCAAATGTGCGGTGAGGGAGTAACTTACGTGGCTAGGAGAGGTCACGTGCTTCGCAATTTCAACAGATTCGAGGAAAACTGAACAAAAATTGCAGTAGAATGTGTCGCTTCGAGATGGCTGCGATTTCGAACCCCGTCCCTGAAGTTTCTTTCTTCCGGCTGCAGGCTGTTAAACAAATTTTCAAAATAAATTACCACGGAAGGAGGCAATGGTCGTGCGACCTTGTTTGCTACGTGTCTTAAATGATAGCAGATATTAATGACATTTTAAGAAAATCGTTGGAGCATATGGGTCAAAAAATTAGCCACTAAAATACTGGAATATTAAGGGTTGATAGTTAAGTGAGAAAATTCAATTAATGGTACGAGGACCTTGAACGTCATGCTTACCGAATGCGACTTGCTTGGGTGAACACGGTTCAAAGGAAGACTGGTTTAAAGGCGTTAGCACGGAAATGCTTTACATTGAAAAGGTATGCAATGTATCAACAAAGTGACACTTTTGTTTTTGTAACGAGATTCGTCTCTTAAATTGGTATGCAAAAGAGGGTTCAAAAACTACACCAAATACAAGCGTTTTGAGCAGCCTTCGGAATCCAGCCAGATTACTAATTTGTTGGATGCGCGTGCGCAGCGATCGCCCGAATTTCTTGAAGGTAATCCAAACTCGGTAGTCGTTTAAATAAAAGTACGAGCAATTAAGTTGAATACCCCGTACAATAGGATTCCATTGCCCCTCTTAAGCAATTACCACCATACAGAAGGCCCGTTTACATCACTATCGAGAAAACCAATCATACCTCACTTGATGTGGAATTCCCACGAGCTGCTTCAAGTGTCCTGGTCTTATTCGTATGCTCGGGTTGCTGCACAGTTGCGTGTTCTGTCGAGTCGTGGGGAGGGTCGCTTGATTCCGCGGTTCTGCTTTCGACCGTCCGCCACGGCCTACGCGTCTCCACCTTTGTGGGAAATAGGCGTCTACGTCTTGAGAACTTCATTGCAATAGCAGTCTGCAGACTGTGCAATGCAAAGGTTAATGTAAATTGTGTTAAGGAGCTGCAAAAAAAAACCACAGAGCGCGGGCAAAGTGTTAACGAGTTACAACAACGTAAGGTCGGCCGGACTCACAGCTTTCACGTGCATCAGGGACTGCTGTGATGTGGACACATGTTCAGTACCACCAGGTAGCAAATTGAGGTGGTAGTCCTTAGGTAACAATAACAAATATACCAGGACTAGTGGTTGCAGAGTGGAACAAAATTAATATCATTAAGATATTAGCGTAATAAAGTCAATTTTTTTACTAATCTGTACCCAAGTGTATCAGCAAAGAGGGGCGAATTCCACACAAAAGCAGATACAAATTATTTACACGTCTAATTCAAAGTAACATAATTTAATCCAGAATCCAGAGCGAAAAAAAAACAATTTGAGTGCACTACTAAAGTAGGGAGAAAATAGGCATACTGAAGACGATTTCAATGGCAATTACTAAATAATTTCCAACACACCGAATTTTAACGGAGAGGCGAAGACGCTCATCCCACAAACAAATTTTTGGATACAGAGGTTTGCATTTACATCGAAAGCAGGTGTAGTAGTCTGTGGTCTAAGCACTACCTTACAACCCTCCAGTTAACAGCCCGTAACAACCCGAGAATTGAGTGAACAGGACATTCCACGGTGGATGTCATGATTTTTTTAGTGGCTGGTTAAGTTATTTTGTTGTTGTTTTCTCAAGTAAAATAGTTTTATATTACTAGTATACTGGCGACATTTTGATATAGGTTCATTCATTCAATAGACCGAATTCAAGGTTGCACGGAAATAAATAATAAGGGGCTATAAATTAGAACAGTCCCCACAGAAGGCGCTGTTAATTTAAACCACACCCACCACTAGAAGATTTTTAAACACTAAAGACACCTTCACCATTCTAGAAGAATGTTAGCGTCGCTGGCGAACCTGAGACAAATTTTAAGGGTCAGTTCCGCCTTCCATCACACTTGCGATGGGATTAATAGTGCATTCTACTTTCTTACAAGAACGACACACGTTTATAAAGTTTGGGATATTCAACACCTTAGCTTAAAGTGGTGTTTTGTTAGTAATGGCAGCGAGTCAGGTGTCACCATCTGCTTCAAAATGAGATTAAGCCAAAGCTGACCACCGTTTAAAGGCACACCAAAGGAGTTAAATTGACAGGCCGCATGAGCCCTCGAACCGTCCGTTGTGATGGATTGCGTGTGCTGAGAATATCTCCGCACACCCATTACACATTTTTTTTGAAAGCGACTGGACCTTCCAGTGGCAGACAATCGATGCAAACCTTGAGGTCTAATTAATCAATCATCGGTCATGCAGCCTAAAAGACGTACTTCGAGGACCACTTAATAAGGTGACTCAGAATGGCATTGTGCCGCAACTTACAGGGTTCGACGGAGGTTTTTGAACTACCTTTCTCTCGATGCCGAGGGGTAGCATTTCATAGAGTTTGGCCTTGAGTAAAGGCAGTAAAAAGACGGGCGTGTCGATATAAAAGAGAGATTGTAATTACTAGCAAGAATTCATTTTACTCTTCGTGCTTAAAAACAAGGCGCTCTGGACTTGCAATTCAATCTACTTTTTAGTCCCCGAAGAAAAGGCCACGTGCGTAGCACGCTATCTTCATACTGTGAATAATTCTGTTCGCGAAGCATAATTAAGATGCTGGAAGAGCAGTCAACAGGTACTGAGTCGAGTCGAGAGGCCTTCAACTCACTATACAACATCTTTAGATTTAATTGCATTACACTTCAATGAAACTGGTTACGCAGAATAATTAGGCAATCAAGACTGTTCAGATGCTAACCGTGGGCGCGCGCAAGGCGCATGCTGAGCGTAGCATGTGGTGACTTGGAGTGGTTGCTTTATGATTGCGGTGCTGGGAGTGCCAATCACCGCGGCTCCCACCCATGGAGATCACTTAGTCAATGAGGAAGGCCAACCGAAAGAGGCGCTAGACCACAAGACTCACCTCCTCAGCTGTCATTTGCTTTGCATTCTCGTTCTAGGAGGGTGAAGAAAAGGCACTTTTTGGGAAAAATCAAATACACGCCGAAAGCATTGCTAGAAAAGCCACTTAAAAAGCACCTAAAAGTATTGCTTAAGTGTTTATGAGTACAATGAATTTAAGCTAAACTACCTGCAAAGCGCAAACAACGCATAAACTTTTGATTCTGCATTCAAATAGCAGGTAGGGGCAACTTTTAAAAAATATCTCAAAAGCTGTTGGAAGCAAGCAAATTTAAAAACCACACAAGCGGGCCTAGTTTGTTACTTTTCGGCGGGCACTAACACAAGTTATCTGTGTTAATAGTGTTCGCTAATAGGTGTATACTATTGCGTCAAGTTAGGACTGCTGACTTTTCGTATACATTAACCTGAGCTCGAATAAGTCATTACTTACAAACATGTCATCAAAATCATTTTGTGATACATCCACATCACCCTCCAACGGCACCCATTCAATTTGGCTGTCTTCAAAAATGAGAGGATCTACGGTTTCAGACTTGAAACGAACAAAAACACTTTAGGGTGATTATGGATAGACGAAATCACGGCTAACCAGGTGTAGACTCACCTCGCTGTTATTTTTACAACGGGTCTGGGGGGTGTGGGAAATGGGGTCACGGGAGACGGCAGACAACCCTTCAGCACTCCCATTGGCAAGATGTCCTGAGGCGGTAGGCGCCGACTGATTGATCTTAATTAAAATTACGATATAGACAAGATTAACTATTTGGTGAATAGTGTTTTTGACGCTTGCATAGCGGTAGATAAATCATCGTACAATTCGCTTCTTTCGAAATAAGAATGTTATTCAAGTCTAATATCATGTTATGGTTTCTTGGAAGTCCAATAAAACCACTCTATTGTGTAAAGTTGCAAAAATGTCCATGTCGAGCTACTGCTCGTTCCACGTAAACTTTGCTAGTGTTTTAGCACCACTCGAACCTTTTCCAAACGCCGGGAAGAAAAGAGGTGCCGAGGAGTAAGAAGGTGGGCTTTAAATAAACTGCGCTCCTCGAATCCGAGGTTGCAAGCCTCACAGAAGAAGGAATAAAGGCTCACGTCAGAGTCGCGCGAAGTAGGAATGGGAAGAGGGACATGCGTTCTGTGTGGTGCTGAATTGGCGACTTTGTGACACTTGTGTGACAGCAATTTCTCGAGATTCGTAAACATTAGATGGCAATCATTGCATTGAACATTAATCGGCCGAGACTGCAACTGCAGGAGAGAACAATATTTGAGTCCAACAAAAAATTAGCCATAATAACAACAACAAAAGCAATTCGTCAATAATAGCGAGAGGCAAAGGCTAATAAGAAATGACCGGCTACGATGGCTACAGAAGCAAGTTCTTGCGAAGGAAGTTTATGCTAAACTTCTAAGACTAGTCAGTGACATGAATAGACGGCCTTAAGGAATTGTGCCTCCCCAGGGTTTGCCTGAAAAACTATATCCCTCATACGTAAGAATAAACTAAATCGATGTTAATTAATCATTTACAGGGTAAATCTGTTTTTTTTTAATTTCACATAGCAGAAAACCTATGAACTGGAGTCCCCATATGCCAAGACCTTGTCGTTCCCATGCCACTTTAGTGCAGTGGAAATTACCTTACGAGCTGTCTCTAATTACACAAGGTGCGGAGTTGCGAACACTAGGTCAATCATAGATCTCGCTTTACAAATGACGGACCGAAGTTCATAATAAAAAAAACAATTCGCTCATGAGCGGAAAAGCAGAAAATAAATTCATTGATATAATTCACGTAGCGCCCAACATTGTCTAATTTTATTTAGTCTACTGCTAACGGCAGCAGTCATGTGCAACCATTTGGCTCACTCACACGATGAATTGCAGGGGTTCTCAACGCAGAAGCTTCAGTTTGTGTTTGTTTTGCAAGCCTTCTGTCTTCCGTAAGGGCCTGAAATGGTGAATTTAGGAATAGCTGATTGCCACAAGGACAAACTTATTCACGTTTATTACAGTAATAAGCGTGGCATTTAACTCTAAGACTGGGAAGAACGACCTCACGTTAACTTTCGAATTGGAGACGCATCCAGGACGATACAACAAACTTAAAAACTCTTCTTACTGGGGTGGAGAGTTCGAGTCTATCTCCGAGGTCTCGCCACCACATTAGTCCATACGACAAAAGTATTGCTACACATTGGAAATACAAGCACATAGGACCGAAACCAATAGCAATCAACTGAGTGTACTTCGCTCCGAGTGATGCCGTTCACAAAAACGAAATTATCCATGCAAAACAATTAAAATATAGACCGAAAGCAACTCGTTGTCTCGATGCAGACACAGAAAAAAGCGTCAAGTATCCAACACTCAAGAATCGCAAACATGCAGGACTCCCTCCTTAAATATGGAGCTTTGAAAAAAACGCACTAAACCCCATGATGTCACGATATACTGGTTGGAAGTAGTAAACCTAACTTGATCGACACGTACACATGGTTTGAAGGAAATTTGACAATATGACGAATCACATTGTTAACACCCGATAACTGACGAATTGACAGCAAGGCACTTAAAAACAAGCCGTAGACTTGTAAAACCGATACAGACAAATAAAGTCCTTTATTGCAAGCTTTGGGATTTCCTAAGCAGTTCACAGTCTGAATACACATGATCCCTGTAAATTACTGGGAAATTAAAAAACACAATCAAATAGGTTATGGATTTACCATCGTGGAGACTGACGACTGCCGAGAGTTTGCTTGTCGACCTTTCTAAAGAAGTTCGTGCAGTTGGGTCATCAACAACATAAGTTAGCAAAAAGCCAAAGGACAAGAAACATGGTTTAGTTTACGGATACTCGACCTCCAAGAACTTTCAATGATTTCGATTAGCGTCATTTACAGATGCACAAGCTAAGTCTTTAGCTCAGGGATTTGGTGTACTGCACCGGAAAAGCACTGGAGATAACTTGGGTTAAGGGGCAAACTACGAATGTCTTCGAAGTATCGATTACAGGCGACGAAACGGTATTTGTAGCACGCGAACGAAGTGCAGTAGTTGCAGGTGTAGGATAAAAACGGTATTCATCGAAATTCACCTTTTCAGACTGAAAAGTCAGCAGAGAACTCCAGGGTCGTAAGGCCATTGTTAACTGGTTTCCTACCTGTTCATAAAAAAAATTTCCTCAGTTTTTGCATGAATGCAACAAACTCAAAGGATGTTTAACATTCTCCCGGAAATTATTCCCATTAGCAAGTCAAATGACCTCAGAGTCAAGCGGCATCGGCCTTTGTAACAGCATAAGTAAACAAAAATAAAAAGCATCGCATGTGTAGAGCTTCACTCGAGCTGCAATGGGCTTCAGAACGTACCGGAAGTTGATTCCGCCCTTCGAAATCCGATCTGAGACGCCTGACGGAACTAAAAGATTTTCAAAACAGACCTCCGTATCCTCCGAACCGCTTTCACGTGGTCAACGTTAGTGAAAGGTCTAGGACTAGTGTGGGCCAGATGAGATAACTTAAAGCTGTGAAATCGTATCCGCGTAATACACATTTCATTGGCCGTCAAATATTTGATCATCATAACTCTATTCACTAAGGTTTCGGTTCGTATTTAATCAATTATATGCATTTCACTTTTACCAACCTGGAATTAACAGGTCCACGTGAAGAAAATTGATTTAACGAGTGATCCTAAAAAAGAACATCAATGCTGGTTAAATTTTAGACATTTACTTTAGAAATTACTCCTTCTACCCTAATAGATTCCCTGTAATTAGTAGATTCAAACAAATTAGCTATCACAAAAGAAGTTAATGTCTACCCAAACCAGAATCAAAGGTAAAGTTTAAAAGTAGTAGAGAAAACAACTAGGATCACACATACGAATGCTCAAATTTGATCCTTTTGAGGCCATGTTTTAAATTGATGTTTAACAAACACTTGGCATAGTTCATCATTAGCGAGTGCATCTTTGGGTGCTGCAAATATTCAAAAAGTTGATCTAAAGCAGAGACTTAATCGTTTAATTTTATAAAACTTTAACGTAAACAGCAAACACAAAAAATGCAGAAATTGTTTGCTTACGTCTGAAGTAGCTGAAGTGTGCATTAATGGCGTTACAGCCTCCGGTATTCGAACATGTAAAGAACAAATTTTTGCAATAGGGTCTGAGTACTGAGACCAATAAATGGTGTCAACTCGACTGTGCAAACTCGACTGGACGAATGAAATTAAGATGGACCTTGTGTGATGTCAACACTAAATTCCTACACCCCCCTTTAATTCAGACACTGAAGGCGAATTCATAGTTATGATATAAGTGTCAAGTTTACAATAAGACTAACGTATATTCTGCCGTCAAACATTCAATTTCTAACTCGAATAAGCCTTCACAATTGGTATGTAATAAGGTATTGAACCACTAAGCGATTGATTTCTACATAAAAGGGAAATGCTTAATTTCGAATCACGCACTTCCCCCTGTCGGTCAAAAAAGCCAGAAAAATGTAGCAGATTTGAAAACTAGGGCAAGAAAAGTGGATATCTTCAACATACATTCCACATATTACTAACAACGGTTAAAGTTAATTAAAGCGGTGAAGCGCGTAGGGCCAACTACCTTGAATTGCATATTTTAAAAAAGCGTTGAGAATTCTTAAAGTGGATTTATTTGTAAGAAGAATTAAGATAATGATCATTAGTTAGACCGGTACTCAGATAACTTTTCATTCGAGGCCGTTAAGACCAAGCAGAACCATGGCCTCCAGTCACGAATAGAGTTAAATTGAATTTGTATCATCACCAAATCGGCACATCTTAACCTTTGTTGATAACTGTAACAAGAGTTTTTCTTAAACATCATTTCCGGTGCCATTTAGAGATTAGGGCAAACGCCAGATCAAGGGCCATGGCTGACAGAATGGCTATTTGAGTGGCGCACGACACAGCCACTGACGGGGAGACAAAACACGACAAATAGGACTGCCAGCAAAGCAGAAGCTTCTTACTTTCGAAGCAGCAGAAGTGGGCTGACGGAAATTCGGTGCGGCAGTTTCGCAAGTCGTCGTCTGTAATGAAAGTGGAGTGTAATTATCCCTCAATACAAGTTTCCCGCTTCTTCTACCAATTAAAAACTCCGCTTGTAACTCATACTGAAATCTTCATGGTAACTCTTAGTGAGTCATGCTAATTAATATCCTTAAAACGCATGATACATGCATTATCGCCGCTCCTAGCGCAATGCTTTGAACACCCCAGTGATTAAGTACAATTTACCACATTATTAAATACTGTTGTCACCGTGGTTGGCACATAAGAAACAAAAAATAGACCGTCAATCAAAAAGGTGCGATTCAATTAGTTGAGGGATTGTTCAATTAAAACTGACATGATCTGAGGCCCGGAAAGCCCATTGGCGCTTGTGCTTAACCTCACGCACAAGTTTTACTTGCAACCAAGCAGACCAAAACCAAACACTGGCGCAGAGGACACGGTTCAGTGTTTCGATTGCAAGATACAATTATTGGATCTAACCTTAAAGATCGTAGAGTATTTTTAACACTGGAAACACGATCTAAGACCACTTGAAGAAACTGTACTTTTATTAGCGAGGAAAACCCTTCCTACTTCACAGTCAATTTAGGCAATAAATTATGGTTGCGCAATAATAATACACATAACCAGCCTTGCTTGGTTGCCTATCACACGAAAAGAGTAGGCCCAATATCTGGCAGGTAAAATCCACTGATGTCACCGAAACTTACTGCTGTCACCTGAGCTTTTGGCAAGGTCGTCGAAGGATTGGGCAGTTGAAGAGGCGTGTAAGGCTCTGAGTACTGGAATTAAAAGAAAAGCCATTGGTTCAACAAGATGGCGAGCCGTCTGCATAAGAGATTCGAAGGCGTTTACAGGACCAAATAGGACATGAACTGGACACATGGGGGTCCACTTTCGTGTTACATTTTAAAGGTTACTTAAATTGCACTCCAGTCTATTTCAACGAAAGTCCAATTTACCAACTAGGGGGCTATGAGTATCGCCCTAACCCTTAGGGAGTTCCCTTAGAACTGAACGTGCCAGCATGTTTGTTGCACAAGATATTTGATTTTGTCTCCAATACTCCCCTCACATCTTTGCCATTTAAAAAAGGGACTTCTAGATTCCGATGCAACAGGAAGGCTTTATTAAAGGTCTTTCGAAAGGACTTAAATTACACATTGACAAGTTGCTTTGTGGCATCGATTCCTAGGTGGAAAACCTATTGAAAACGTGGAACATCTAGATGTATGCCTAGCGATTCGAGCCACACGTCGCCAGCAGTCAAGTGCTGCGATTCAAAGTAGTCGACGCACCAAATCAGAAAACATGGGCAGAAGGTCCTAATTAAAGAGATACGACAATAAATAGATAGCGACGAAACTAACAATACCCGATTTCGATATAGAAATTTGAGCAGCACAAATTGATCTAACGTTATTCTCGGATTAGGCTACTTGCTATTTCCACGGTAGATAGTGCGTTAACATCGGCAAGATACGCCATACTAAAATGGACTTTCGGAAGTTTCATTACATATACATGAAGAGGTCGTGTCTGCGATAAATTTTTACGTCGATTCAAGATTGTCAAGTTGCAACTTGACGTGCAAGGCTGAAAATGGAAAACGACAGGGAGGAGAGAATTGTGTGGTAAAAAGCACGCGTTTATAAACGTCCCTCCTCGTTTTTCTTTTCTATTCAAGCAGCCCCACATCTATCTCGCACTGAACTTCACTTTACTTCTGGCAAAGTGCAATCTAACACTACTTTTACCTAAAGGGCTCTAATCGCTCTAATAAAAATGTATTCAGGAAAACGGGATGCTGCAGTAAGAGGCTAGTCCTTACTAAAAGATTAGATCGGACTTCCGACTTTTTTATGTCCTTCTATAATATTAAAATACAGTAGTTACTCAAAGGCGATCGTAAACCGCCTATCACGCATCTGTCCCACAAATATTTGCATTTTGTGCAGAAAATATTTTAATATTTCCAGAAGACGGCTTTTCTCCTTGTTAGGTTTACATGTGGTATTCCAGACCCAAAATGTATGTTAATAAAAGTCGTAATTCCTTTAGTAAGCAAATGTAGTTACAAGATTTACACCCGGTTAATAATAACTGACCTATCAGCTTGGTCGACTACTTTAATTCAACAACCAGGGGTGATTACGCAATGAAACGGACAGCAAAACGTGGCGAAGGCAACCCGTGGTACACGACACCTATAGTTTGTCATTTCGGGAGCAAATCGGTCATTGTGGTCCTGTGTACCACCCTGCTCCGGTTTGATCGTAGTCTTTCTAACTGATGCTACTAATCAACCGAATACCCCTGTGGCTGATGGTGAGGAGTTGCCTAAGTAGCGCGTATTGTAAGCCAAAAAGCGGTCTGCTGCATAGGCATTATAGAATTGCTATAGTACACGAGAACGCTTGCAAATGCGTCGCAAGTGTAATGGTCCATGAATACTCAAACGAAATCCACTATGGATCGTTTCCATGACGTTATCCATTCCAGTGATCACAGGTGCTTCACAATGAGAAGCATCAATGAAGTTAAGATGTCCTTCTCCATAACTTTACAATATTTAGCCTCGTGTAATTGCGTTGTCACCCTCCCTTGTCGTCAGCAAGGAAGCGATAAATAATAAAGAAAGTGCCCAAGAAAATGTACGGGCCGACCGAGCCCTCGAATACATTAATTAAATGTCGGCAGAGGTGAGATTTTTTCACATAAGGTTACATCGGGTCCGAACACGAGAAGACATTAAGAAATAGCGTGAATGAGGAGTCAACACGAAGTTTTGTTGTGCAATTAGCTAGTGAGCAGGGCTTTTGCGCTAGTGTAATCATTTGTGCCAAATTTTAATCACATTTCTGAATAAGGCGATCTCAAAAGATCAAGAATGCGTTTGCTGTTTAAGAAGTGGTACGACGTACAATCATTAAACCAATCTACGAAGCTTTAACGAAGTTTTTTGTAATTTACTGGGTTTGTCTTTTAAACACGGAACAGTGTAGATCTGCACTTACGGGTTCCAAGTCAGGTTTAGATGTGGATGACTGTTTTTTTGGCGTTTTTCGCAGTCGAATCTCGAGTTGACGTAGCTGGAAAGAACGTGGAAAACCTTAGGAAAAAATACTATTTAAATACACGAATTTCCGGGAGTGTAGGTTGCTTTTAGCAAACCTACACATAAATAATCTGTCGGATGTTAAGAGGAATAACAAACAAGTAGGTATTAGTTGCGCCTCTGACACATTGACTGCACAATAAAGCGATATTTTGGTTATGAGACTGTCGTGCGCATATGGAGATTAAAATAAAGGACCCAGGTTGTTTTTTGGAGTTATGGAGAATTTGATCAGGGCAAATCAAAAATGCCTGACAGTAAGCGATCTCAAGCAGATTTATGAAGCACACTTTTGCATAAAGAACACCATAAAAATTGACAAGCGCATCGTCCTTCGCAACATAACTCCAATTTTAAAAAAATAACTGCACTTGACATCACGTCATAGAACCAATAAAGCAATATGTTGGAACCCCGGGTGACATAAATTTTGATAACGTAAGCAGTTACCAACTAAGGCATCGTGTTAGCTATTTAGACTATACAATAAATTGATTCCCTACATAGAAAAAAACCTCGCCAGTTTATTATGAATTCAGCTAATCATTGCATATATTAACTCAACGACGTTAAGTGATTGGAAAACCAAATAAATATAATGGCCCGCCAAAGTAATTCTACACTTGAAACGCTTTCAACACCATATTCGGACAGTGGCGGTGCTTCAGTTACTAAATGCTTTAATGTTCCACTGAATTTGGACGTTATTTCAATTGCGTATTTACACTGAGACAACAGTCCGAAAGTATGCAGCATTACCTTGTCGTGATGCACTGACTGACTGCACTGACCTGTCGAAGCAAAGTCAACAGCCGTGACAGCCTTCTTCAACAGGCGCTAACACGTTATCTTCTTATAAGTCATTTTTCCCTTTTTCCTGTACTTTTTTTCAGTTAGAGTTCTCGCTTTCTCACTTACTTCGCATTTGAACCAATAAAAAGTGTACCATCAGCTAGTGCCAAAAGTTACCAGTGCTTACGAAACAATGGATCCGAGAATGAGTTAAACGAGACGGAATTATGGGGTTGTTTAAATCCAATCGAGCGCATTTTCAAGGGTCTTGCAGTAAGCGAAATGACTGCCGTTCGTAACAAACCGACAACCAAGCTGCGGTGCATTAGAAATGTCTGGAAACAACCGTATTATTGTAAAATAGTTGGCCCCTAAAACACATTAATTAAATTATAATCTGTTTACATAGGCCATCTTATTTGGTACAATCGCACCCTCTTCGATGTAATAACAAAAGACTCACATGATCAGCTTCTTTTGTATGATTTAGTAGACCGATTTTGTCCCCAAATTGCAGTTTGCACAATCCACAATTCCAAATACCCACACTACTAAGTGGAGCAACGTTCTCTGTACCTTTGTTAAGCTGAAAAGTAATAATTGTCTAGTTCAAATCATCCCATTAAAACGGTAAATTTAACGACGTTGTCTACATGCCTGAAAATCAGAAAAGGATTTTCGACATTACCAGACTAGGGATAAAATTAGGGCACAAATACAACATTGCTACCTTTGACAGTTTGTGGACACTTACATTCACATTCCGTCTTCCCGATTTTTTCCCTTAAACGTACAACGTGCGTCGACAGATGCACATTGAAGATTGAATGAAAATAAATCGCCCGGAGTTCAGTTCAATATTACCGAATTTGATAAATCGAATTAAACAGCCTCGATAACCACCCAATTGAGTGTCTTTAAATAATCCTCTACAAGTGACCTTGGCTTAGAACCTGAGGAGGCCAATCAATACATCAACCGTTTTTGACAAAGTGGGCTGCGGAATAGCCCGTATAGAATGGTTTCTATAGCGCAGCCATTTGATATAATAAGGAATGCATGGCAATTTGACTTCGCACATTAGGCTCGCTTAAGCGATGGTTCAGGTGGGGAGGGTGGGTGCTGTCAGCTCACCACCAAGTTGAACGTCGAAGAGTATGAATTTCAGCACGGCCTCGACTACCACCACACTCAGGTCTAGACACACAACATAGCTCTGGATAACGCGCACAGAGAAGCAGCCAGACAATGTCTAACGATTGCAACATGCGTTCTACACGAGAAGATTATCAAAAAGCAATCAGTCGTTCTTCCTGGTTATTCCAATCTACTGTAAAAGGTTTAGCCCTCAATAGGTGTCGCCACCGCTTAAACAGGTAAATATTCGCTTCGCTGCGTCCAATGCCAGCAATTGTCCTTTCACATTTCTACATGTTGTGATAGGATATGGTTTGAACTCACACATCACATCGGTGGGAGGCTACCAAAGCCGTCTGCACAAATTCACAGATGAAATTTCATCACTTTGTTCAACTATTTTCCTACATTTACGAAGTAAAGCACTTTATGGCATCAATCAAAATACACAACGCTGGTTGCTTAAGGGTGGAGGCTAATGGTTCCATAAATGGATGCGAAGTAGGAGACACGGAGAACTTGAGCAACATGTTTTAGCACCACGTGCACACAACAGGAAGTTTTACGAGCAAAATTTCACCTTAGATGAGGCGTGAGTTGAAGTCTGAATTTTCGGTTCTACGGAACGTCCACCGTACTCGAATCCAGTGTCAGGTTTGACGTCGTCCTTTCGCGAAGACTCAGGCTGCTGCAAAAAAACATGGTGCACGTTTCGACACGACCACCACAACACACCAAGCAGTTGTTACAGCAAAACGCAACAACACAATGAATTAGTAATAACATTCACTTCCGAGTGCTGTCTCAACGGTGGAGCCAGTTGAGCTTGATTATGATGGTAGAAAATTCAAACAACGCCTGAACTATTCTGCCTAGAGGTGGATTTGTAATGCAGTACGCCAATACAAAAAACCGGGAAACACGCGTTACGTAATTGGCAAGCTTTTCTTGTTTGGTGCGAGTTACGAAGACTGAGGAGAATTGTCCTTACTCGGGTGCAAAAATTTTGTAAACAAGAGTTTAAAGGACGCTCATTAATCAATGCGATTTAATACAGAAGAATGAGCTTGTGCTATTGTTTTTATGCTGCGTTGCTGTACTTTTACACATTCAAAAACATAGAAATAACTAAAGTAGTTATAATAATTATTAACCAGATTCCACAGATAATTTCCATGGCTTTGCTTGGTGAGAAGGAAAGCTATGTCTGTGTAATAAAATTCAAAGCGGAAAATCACGTCATTTGAAAATTTGACTCGGCAAGGTGTCCCAACAGATAAGCAAGGGTCCACATCGTTCAAGATCTAAGACAACCTAAAGCAGAGACCACAATTGCCAAAAACATTGTTGCAAACCTATTAGATTCCAATATTCGGTAGAATATTGGGAAGTTTTGGATTGTCTTTCAATGATACTACTAATGAAGGAAACATTAGAGGGCAGTTAAAAAAAACCATTTAGAAAAAATGGACAATAAACTTTGCGGGTAACCAACAGCCACATCCGGTAACGGAGTTCACACATGAAAGATGGAGGCAGATTCCCTTCAATCGCTAAAGTCCTCTAAAGAACGCACATTCATTAGTCTTGTAAAATATTAACAATCGTTTCAATAACGTGGCACCGCCCGAATTACACAATTCTGCTTTGCTTGAAAAAAAGCATGCATTTTTTAAAAAAAAAAGTAAAAGCATAATAGACTGGCATAAGACATGCACTAAAATCAAGTATACCTAGATAAAAATCTACGGTGAAGGCGAAGTGTAATGGGAACATGACTTAAGAAAAGAACGAAATGTGGATGGTTGGTTTCGAAATGCTCTAAGGAACGATCCTTCAAAAAACAATATTACCTTAAAGGAGGGAAATTTGTTTGAGTGACGATAAAATAATGCTATGAAAGCTAATTTCAGAACTTCGAATTTAGTAAGCATTAAACGGAATTAATAAATCGACATCGTTTTAAGGACTTGTTTTTAGAAATGTTTGGGTATGATGCAAGGACGCTGATCAGCATTTGAATTCGATTGAGGATCCTGCTTAAAACAAAGCCTGTCGTCCGTAGATGAAATGTGCAAAAACCACCTTGTGAGTAAGTAGATTGAGTTTTTATTTTTTAGAGCTTGGCAATAAACGAAATAGGAGAGTTGGAATCGGATCCAACTTGATACCCCCGTACTGTGCATTTTTTTAAACATACATTTAATTGCGGCTAGTCACCAATACCTGAAAGTTTATGTTTGAAGGTTTAAAACACTTAAGTAGTGAATATAAGGATGCATGACAAGAAGAAATCTCACTTCCTTAGCCTTGGGGTTGATATTTAAGACATCCAAACAGCATCTTATGGATTGGTCCATGCTCTCGAAGACGGTTTGCACGGTGGATGCCATCTCCTCTAAATTTTGGGGCCTGTCAGTCAAATTTCGAGATACATCATTCCAAAAGGCCTTTGATGCATCTACTTCACGTCTAATTTCTAGTGTACGCTTGCAAGCATCCTATATGAATAAGACAATTAAACAAAAATTTTAAATTTCAAAAAGGCTCGTCGACTATCCAACAATTAGAAAATGTCTTGTAATTTGTGCATCGTCCCTGTCCCATTTTGCAGCAGCTCTTGGCATCTATCAAAGACGCGCCGTACCGCCACAGAATACTACTGAATGCATCCATCACGTTTGCTGAGATACATGGCATTCCGAAATTGGCATTTTAACAAGTGGGCCTGGCCTTGAGTTCAGCTCCAGAGGATGACGCCACCGGTGAAATTATTGGCCATGTTAATTAACATGTCCACCCGAAACATTAAGCATCTCACTCTGTGACAATTTATAACACTGAAATGAGGTTATGGTGTCTTGGAATTAAGGCAAAGTCTTGTTGCACTAATTATAACTAAATAAATTGCAGTTTTGACTGCAGGCAATCTTTAACGTACAGAAAACTTTTTCTCATCCCTTGAACTACTATCCTGACCGGAATTTTGCAAACCGCTGACCATCTGGAAGATCATCGCCAACTCAGCATGCTGTTGTTTATGCTCAGTGGTCAGTTCGGAGACGAAGTCTTGTAAATTATAACGATTTTCTTCAATTGAATTTCCAAACTAAATTCAAAGAGCATTTACTAACGATGATGGTTACGATGGTGGACTGAAAATTCGAATTAACCTTTATGTAACAAACTGGAGGACTTTCCTGTCATGTAAAGAGTTGAGAATTTCACTTTATTCATGGCTATCCAAAATTTTCCCAAATAATGAATTGAATAAAGAATAAAGAATCAATCATAAAATGGTAACACTTGTAGAAAGAGAAAAGTATAGTAGCAAGGACACATAGTGATATGGAGAATTTATTTAGAGGAGTGAGTTCTGTTTTGAAACGCGAAAATTGGGTAATTGGCTGAAGCGTTACATTCACGTGTAACTATCCGGAGGACACCAAGCAAGCGTGAACAGCCAAGCATTGCTACAGCCTGACGGTTAAGATAATTGCTAGGTGTAAAGCCACTTCTTTCCATCTTTTGCCATAGCCATGTCGACAGCACAGACCGCGCAGATAAAATTATTTTTTTCCACATGATTAGTGAATGCTCTCATTAGATCTCACCGAATAATCCCGAACTCAACATCACTACTGCTCGTTCGGACAGTATAAGCTTTCTCTTACCTAATTTTGCAGAACACTGATTTAATACGTCTCTGAATCACACAAAACCTACTTAGAAACGTAAAAAAAACTAAATGATGAGAATCTAACGATTTTCTTCGGATTTGAATCAGTTTTCAGGGCATAGGTGACCCGAAGAACTTGCATTCCAGGTGAATAATGCTAGCTAAATTAATAAATATGACATTTAGGCTACACCATTATTTGCGACTAAATTCAAGAAATTATTCACTATTCACCTTTTAATTTCGATGTGAATTGTGTATTTAGTCAAAAATTACTTTTCTTTACACGTTAAGGCATGTTTGCATTAATTTCAGCCCTGAAAAAAATTCATGATTAAAACCTCCACACTCATGAAAAACGTCGTTCATTCGAGTAAATAACTCACCACATCCCTGTCGGGTAACCAGTGCGAATTTTGCAGCGTATCAACATTTGGCATGGCTGGACCACGCACTAACCGCTCGTAAGCACGCTCGAAGTTGTTTGCGGAAAAGTTTTTGTAGTCTGTAGACCATGTCTAAGGAAGGAAATGGGCCTGTTTGGAATTTAGAGAATATTAATGTATCTTTTGCAACTCGTCACTGCATCAACAGTTTAGAGGACTTTACTTTAATTTAAAAACTCGATACATACACTTCCTGCAACATAAAATACGTAATAAAACTCATTGACACATCAGAGCTACAAATGGAGGATTTGAACTATATCACATTGGGATTTGCTGATACAATACTTTCACAAATATTAAATTTATATTAAAAAATTATTTTCATGGACTAATTGGAAAAAAAGTTTAGGCAAAAAATCTTGTATCGAGGTTAAATCACTAAGTGAGACGCACCACCAATTAATAACCATATATATGAGCACACATTACATGGTTGGCTATATAAGCCGATCATTGAACTATTTTTCTCAACTATAACGTCACAACTAGCAAATGTTAAATTTCGAAAAAAAAGTAAACTAACCTGAAAGAGACTCATAATTTTTAGGTGGATTTGCAAAGAGATCAATCTGGATTTCACCGGGTTTAGGAAAACATTAAGCAGATCATTCAACCGATCTTGACTGTTTAAAGCCAAGACAAAGGCATCACCAGCATGCAATGAACACATTTGCAGCAAATCAAGGCACCAAAGACCTTTTGATTGATTTTCTGGAGCAACACTGCAAAAGCGGTTTACCAGCTGTCGGGGGGCAGATTGAGCGGCTAAAGGACCACTGCGAACGGTATGACGGACCTTCGCAAAAGCGAGCAGTCTGTTGGAACAACGCTCGTCAGTGGCATACTCTACACGAAACGCAAAAAGGCGCATTAGTCAAGTCTAATATTATATAATTCCTTTTGTTTATTGTGGAAAAAACAGTTGAAATGGAAATCAAGGAAGCATCGATTAGAAATTGAACACTTGATCTTCACGACTGTCAATCGTTATATTCAAAAATTCAGGATGGAAACAGATGTATATCACAGTCTTCTAGCAGTATGCATCAACACCACGCTTAAAATAGGATGTGCTAATTTAAGGAATAGAAATTGACTTCCCAATGGGGTACGGACAGCAAAATAGAACAGAATTAGGCAATTAAGACTTGACATAAGATATCAAAATATCCCACATCAAATCAGCCAAAGAAAGGGTAGACAGAGACTAAAGTCAGCGTCACTGGACATTAAATATCTCAAAAAAGAAAGTGACGGAAAACATTTAAAAAAAAGTAAATCTAAAAGTTAAAAGAAAAACAAGTTTATCCTGAAGCAGACTTCAATTAGTGTTTTTTTAATAAATCTCACAGCTTTTAATGCCAAAATCTGTAGTTCCGAACGTGTTATACTAGCCCCTCTTGTATTATAAAGACTCTGAAGGGCAAGTACCGCAATGAAAAGAAATTCGAAGCAATATTTAACTAAAATATTTTTGGTACTGACAAATGATGCCTCTGAGCACATTGGTAAATTATATTGCATTAAAGTTTCCACGTAACCTTGTCTCAATGAGTTTTCGTTCACAAAAATATTACTAAAGCCTACCAATCATGTCAAAAATATCCTTGTAGCGAGCCATCACACTAGCAGCGCAAACACCTAGCCGCTTTAACTGAGCACCTCTAATAAGGCGGGAAAACTTTGCGGACTATTAGCCAACATAAAGTGGCATCAGAAATGTTGAAGTGCAGGCAAATAATCACGCTCACTCGTGTTATAAAAACACAGTTATATGGCCTGACTCCAATAACCGGTCATATCAGCTGCGACTGGTTCTGTCTCTGTTCTCAGGGTATTTCGGGCAGTGCAAGGAAACCACCACAGATTTCTAATGTATAAGACTATTACTTATTACCTTAGGTTAAAAGGTTTTGTAGCCATCACGAGTTTCATTTTTTGTGCAAACACTATTTAAATAATACCATGAATTTCAAAATTGTAGGGAAATTTGACATCATTTCGTTACTCAGTTGATGCAACTTACACGTCCACAACAGATGCCTAATGATTTCATGATTTATTTAACCGGAGTCCTCACATTAATCTCAAGTCCACTTTCACAAATTCACTCTTGTTTATTTGTCCCAAGCCTTTTTAATTGTTCGGCCACAACGCAATTGCTTTCTCGGCCTCAATTCACAAGCAGACAGAAAAGAATCTACTTAGAGAGAAATTCAGTAATTTTAAAACAGTCAAAAATTTTCTGATATTATCCAAATTAGAACTCTTCATTAAAGTAAACACATTTTACTCTCTTCTAAATTTACATCTATTTTCTCACTTATCAACAATTATTTTTTGGTTGTCAGTAAGGGCTGTTTCTTACACTCGTATCAAAAGTCTTTATTGCGACCTGGAATACCGTCACCCGATATTTGACTGCCTCGTAGTCCATGGTGATCCCTGCATTTATCCAACATTTTTCTATGCCAGTCGTTTTGTTTTTGATTCAGCTGGTCACCTCTATTACCCTATACAATTTGCCCACACTCCTAAAAATCACATTCCGAAACGGTCGACAAGACTGTCCATTACGTTAACATGCGCCAAGTGTCTCCCTTTTACATTATCTGTCTTGCGTTCATATCTGTGTTTTGTGGAATATAATAGGTTAAATAAGGTGCTCCTTTATCAAACTTTGTTTTAAGAAAGCAATTATTATTTATGATATATTGGCTTACCAAAATTTACGGCTCTATAATAACTGATCCTTTGCTGTAGGCCCCGACATGTGGTCCTGAAACACGCCGTGGCCCACGCGTTGGATCTAGACCGGTTGCCTTACCCTTAGTGCCCGCAAATTTGAAGAAGATCGGAGAGGACGGGGCACAACCGTTTACTAGACAACTCAACCTTGTTGTGTTGACTGATGCAGAACATCGGTCTAGTAAAAATACAGACGTCTGGATGGTCATATGGAGAGGCGAGTACTTGGTGGTACATAGAGAGGGGCGAATGAGCAGGATGTCCCAGTGACTGACGGGCAAGCCGTAAAAAGGGGACGTGTGTGCGAGGCTGTGACGATCGTGCTGTTAGACGTAAATTAACACGACTCACTACACCTTCTTGTTGTCTTCCAAGGTCGGCTTCTAACCTTTGTCATAGATTATTTCAACTCTTTGAAATAGATTATTGACAGGGCTTGGTGTAAAGCAATATGTCTGTGTTTGATACAGCACTACAAAACCGTGTGAAAATCCGGAGCCTAGTATAATGGAGACCGATACAACAGAACAGACTTTATTGACCAATTACAATCCAGAACCGTTTACTAGGCGCCGTCCATCCGTCTCCACCATACTGTATGTGCCACTTGTAATGGACTGCTCACAATCTGTCCTTGTTGCTGATTGGCTGCAGATCTTCCCACAGGCCATTCAAGCGCACGGAGATAGAGGTTTAGCTGAACTTGTCGTTGTCCAATATGTCGCGCCCAATTACAGCACTGCAGTGAAGCTCTCTTCAGCTTCTGGCTTGGTTCCTTTACACCCTTGATGATTGGTAAAAAAATTCCAGTTTAACACTCCCCTACACCCCACATCTAGCAGGATAGTGGCCCAGGCGAATAGAAGACAAGGGAGCTTACTCTTGTAGACTTGTAAGAAGGTCGGTTCATACTTCACAGGCTCCATTTCCACTTACAGTCCAAGTGGCTTCTACTGTCCTTGTCATTTTTGCTGAGTTGCCAAACGCCTCTTCAGATGCAGCAGTCCTAATCCCTGGCAATGTCCACGGATCCAGTGTCAGGGGCATTGAATGACCCGCCATGACAACTTCGGCTATCATTTAGTGGCCTTTGCCTCTGTTGTTCATAAGAGGTACAGTGCTGGGAATCGATTCGCGTTATTCGAATCCGACCGCTGCGACCACTATAGAATACTCGAGCCCTGGTATGAAGAAGACTGGTTCGACAAACAGGACCTATTGACCAATCACACGCCAGAACCCTCACGTCAATCCGAGTCCACCGTGCAAGCTCAGCCGCTCATTATACACGGCTATTCATTCGTGTCTGTCTCCCGTTGGCGGCATATCTTCCTCGTGTGGCATTGAAATGCTGGGAGATTTTGGCTGAGGCTAGCACGGTCAAATATGTCTGCGCCCTTATCCGACGCCACTGTAGAATACCCGAGCCCTAATAGGAAAAAGACCGGTACAACAGAACTGGCTTTGTTGACCAATCACAAGCCAGAGCTACACGTCAGGCGCCTTCCATCCGAGTCCCCCACGCTGGCCACGCCGCTCATTACATACTGCTCCTCAGTCGTGTCCTTCTCTGGTTGGCTGCTTATCTTCCTCGCATGCCATTGGAACGCGGAGAGACACAGAATTGGCTGCGGCCAGGTGGTCCAACATGTCTGCGCCCCAATTCGACGTCACACCACACCAAACCACACCAGAATACACTTCACTACATTAACGAACATTTCGAGCCGCATGGTAAAGACATAGTAAATCCAATACCTTTCTTTTCTTAAAACCTGCCTCATATTACTTAATATCCATTATTTCTGTTGGCTATTGTGACATAGTACTTCTATAAGCCTGTTTAATCAACTAAAAATGACGTTGATTGAGGGCTAACAGTTTGATTTTAATGTTAAATTCGAGTTTATGACTTAGAAGTAGGCTGTCAATCACTTTGACTCCTTGCGCCAATGTCCAGGTACTTTACTTTGGCTTATTTATTTGCGGTGAGGATGTCGGCAGTAGTCGATAACTTTTCACCTAAAATGTTTGTCTAATGCATTGGAACTTATTGAAATTCCTTCGTTAATGTTACCATTTTGTAAATCTTAGGCTAGTAATTGAACGTTGAAATTTTAATAGTGGAAATGCCTGTAGGATGTGTTCAGCCGATGCAAGTCGAATAGCAAAATTTTGGCGATCTAAATGGTGATTTTGGCTTGTAGATTTGGTTGTGGTTATGAAATTCGCTTACGTGGTTCCATACAAAAATTTCCGTGGCAATTATTACATTATATGGAAGTTAAAGATAAGCCTTCATTCACACTACCCAAACTTGCCGTCTGTGGGCTCACCTGTTCACTGACACTCATAATTTCGCTTGGTGCATGTATTTACTCGTAATACGTCTCTCTTACTACGTTTTTCCTGGTTGAACTCTTTGCTCTCAGGGCGGTTAGGTTCGTGTTCTATAAATTATGTCATTTTTGAAGTAACGAGTCACTCTATTTGTTTCAAATTAACGTGGTATGTCTTCTTTTTTAACGTAGCATTTTGATCTATAATCTATATATGCCTACACATAAACACCATTGTACCACTAAGTGTGGATGAGTCGCCTTATTATGTTTTGCCAAAAAAAATCCATTTTGACAAGTATTATATCTTCAGAAATGGGAAAAGGCAAGAATGCTTCCACGCAAAAAACTCGTACGAAGGGTAATGTGAAACCTTCCAACAGTGACCGGTCGTCGGATTTTCTACAGCGGAATGTTTTTCCTGATGGAAATTTGTCTGGTATCAATCTCATCTTGGGTGACGTGACTACTCAATGTCCTACGGAACCAAACTCCCCTAATGTGGGCCTCTCCAGTCTTCTTCCCCACGACCAAGATCCTATTGCTGCCACGTTAGATTCGGACTTCCTTTCTTCATTACGCCGCCTAGAAAAACGGAACTGTGCCACAAAGCAGAAGGCTCTCGACAATTTGATTTTTCTCCTACGCCAAAAAAATGGTGATGGTGAATACTTCAAATCGGTGGACGTTATTACTGCGTCTGTTTTGCCTTATTGGCCACGACTTTACAACACGCTTTCTTATGATGATGATAGACGTGTGCGCGAGCTCACTCAGATCGTGATGCATGCTCTAGCAAAGAGAATTGGCCGCAAATTGGGATCCTGCTTGAAAGAAGTTGTGGTACCTTGGACCTATGCCACCGTTGACGCCCATGAAAATATTGCCAAAGCTGCGAAGATTGGGCTTGACGACACATTTCCTGGTTTCAGGCGGGGTGAGCTTTATCGGTCCTATTCCAAGCACTTGCTTGATGAATGCGAACGTAGAATAGCCTACTTGTCTACAGAATTACCTTCCAAATTAAACTCCAAGAAGGCTGGCCATGGAAATGATGTTTTACCGCCTGAAGCACTTCGCCACCTTAACAACGCGACCCAATTCATCGCCTGGATTACATCTCTCCTTCCTGAACTGTGTCAATTGCCTACAGAAAGCTCACAAATGGCCCGCTTCCGTGACGTTTTGAAACGAATATGGCCGGCTGTTGTGCCGATTGTTGAAACAGCAAAGTACCCTCCCTTGAGCGCCGCATACTCTCGCCTTTTGTCAGTCTTGTGCACGACTATGAGAGAGTGGCTAGCCAGCGAAGAAGAATTACTTCGGTTTACCATCTCTACTTGTGTAAATGAGATTGATACCTTTCCAGAAAGACTTGCCTCTGCCAACACTTGTCTAGTTGTGTTCGGCGAGAAAGTCTGGCAGATATTAAATTGGAGGGAAGTTGTTGAGACGAAGTTGGTTCCCATGATTAGACAAATTCATACAAAAAGCCAGCGTCAGGTAACTCACCACCTATTCGTTTCTCTTGTCTTAAATCGCAGAAAAGCTTTCATACCTAGACGAAGTAATGAACTGTAGCATTCGTTTTTTTAAGTTATAAAGTATTAATTGCAGATTAAGTGGTCCAGAGTCGTTCCAACTGTGATCACGTACTTATTGTTGAGAATTTTTTTCAAAGCATAAGGTGCCTGTTTTTAGTCCTCTAGCGGCTACCTCATTCCTTAGTGTTATAAAATCATTACACACAGCTTTCACTGTTAAATTATTGTTGCGTCCCCCACTGTGGACGTCGGTTTGCTGTTACTCTAATCTCATTCGTTGGAGTTTGTGAGCTCTCTCGCGTGGGTGTTTTTATCCGCCTTTCAAACTGCTTGCTCTGAATCTAGTGCCGTCCACGTGCATATCAACGTTGTTTTCTATACAGATTTCCACTATTCCTTATTTCAGGCCTTGTATTCAAACCTTCTTCCTCTTGTGAGTCATTTGCCGCTCGATTTGACAGACACCTCTGCGGTTGATTTAATGATCAGACTGGTTGACACATCTCGCCAGGATCTTCTTTGCTCTCTTAATCTCCCATGTGACACAAACCTTAGAAAAACCGATGTGTTTCCTGTTCTTTCGGACCAGGGTTCCTCTGTCGACTGTTTAGCAGGCTTGTTGGAACTCTCCCGCTACCTTTTAGATCTTGCCGCTCAGTGTTCTAATAAGACGTTGCTTGATTTTTTGTTGGAAAGAATTTTCTTTGACTTGATGACCTTCGCGTTCTCCTACGCAGATAACATCTCCGATACCACCGCAAGGCGATGGATGTACCGGGAGCAATTTTTCACGTGCCTTTTTGGTCAGGTTGGTTTAATCCCATTTTAGTTGCTTGCCTTCGCATCACGGTGCTTTGGTGCCTTTGTTTTATGCTTTCGTGTAATTTTTTTCCAAAGCCGAGGTCCAGTGCCCGACTAGCTTTTTAATATGGAGACACGTTGAGAACCCGGTAGTCTTACATCTTATTTTCAACTTTCTAGGTTTGCACAACCCTTGCACATTTGGCGCGCGAATCGCTTTCTAACCTCAGAACTGTCTTTTTTCAACTAAAAAGTGGAATAACTGACCTCATCAAATCCAATTCTCAGGATCTCTCTTTTCAAATAGACCCAGTTCTGAACTTTCTGGATCAACTTTTTGCATCGGGCACAGATAGCAGTGGGCACCTTGAAGCCTGGTGTCAAAATTGGCTCCGTGACATTATTTCCTTTATTAAACCCGAGTCACCCAACTGCCAAAACTGTGCTTACCGTTGGCTTCTCACTTTCAGCCTTATTGGTCAGATCGATTCCACAGTGGTTGTTGACGATGCATTGAATCTCTTAATCACTTCGGTGGTTCCATCATTTGATGGCGCAGTTCTTAAGTGGACCTCTTCTATGAGCAATGGTCTTACCAAATGTTCTCTAAAGCCTATTTCCTCCGATTCCTGGGAATCAGTCAGCTCACGAACGCGCAGAAACTTTATAGTTGGTCCGTTCAAGGAGCTTATTCAAGTTGCAAGTCCCCAGAACCTCTTTCCAGCCCTAAGCTCACTAGTCAACCTTTTGACTGCGCACTTTACTGATTCACTGTCTATTTTATCAGAATTCGCCAACGTAGTGTTGTCCTCCCCCTGTGCTTATGAAGAAGCTCAATCAAACATGCTTCAGTCGATCTGTTTGGAGCTTGCCAAAATTTCCGTGCCCTCTGACGATGTGTACGACTTTGTTGCATCACTAATCGATTATCTCGTTGTGAATGACAAGTTAGGTATTTTTGGCGCATCAGATATTATTAAGGAATATGTCAAATTAACTCTAGACATTATATGGTTTGCCAAACAGTACAACAGAGTACAATCAACAGTTGGAGAGGAACTTGTCACATATTTGAAAACTCTAGAAACGTCTGATGCTCGGCTTTTGACGAACCAGGTGTGGAATAATGTCCTATCTAAACTGGGATCTTGTGGCTGCCCTGAAAATTATTCCCTTTTATTAGCATTTCTCTACAAATTGCCCATCGAAATCGAGGCGTGTTACTTGAACTGGCTGAATTTTCTCTCACAAACGGTTGAATCCCTCGTTGATCAAGTGGAAACGATCGGTCAACATCTCCCATTATTTATTCAACCGGAAGGATTCCCCACGCACCTTTTGTCGCAAATTTCTAGACTTATTGTAGCAATTCAAGTCGGATTTAAGCTTAATTTACACACAACGTCCACTGTGGGGTCGTCTGAGCACAAACAGCTGGCTAGTGTCCTGCTGACTATCCAGTTTTGGCTTTCTATGGGCACTCTAGAACCGTTTACATTGGTAGATCTTTCTCCAAGCGCCGTTTTCCTTCCTACGAACGTCGAGGAAGCACCGTCTGTGGGTAGTCTACTGAGCTTCATTAATGGTGTGTGCAGCGAAGTTGTTGACGCGGCTTACGGCCTAGAGTCACTTCCTCTAAATAACTATGCCCTACGAGCCTCTTTAGCCAAACGCCTGGTAGATGTCCATCCTCTTCAATGGCCTATTGCTATACGACAGGCAGCATCCTGTTATCCCTCTTCTAATTGGCTAGAAGAGCAACTTACTGGAAGCTGCTCAGAGGACTTCTTGCGTCTCTGTGAGGTCTATCTTCCAGCTGGGGTTCTTCGTCGTTGTCTTCCAAGGAGCGAGGTAGTCGCCCACATACTCTCTCTTGCGTCTAAGGAATTCCTCGATGAAAATAGGGAGGGTCTGGCTCGTCTAGCTGAGTTGATTGCCTCGTTATCCTCGGTCGCTTTTGTTGGCGGTTCTTACGCTTTCTCTCTTGCACCACTTACTCTTGATGGTCCCCTTCGAGACGCTCTCGTTGATATTGAGAACTACGAGGAACCGGAATTGTTGCGGGCCGTTGTAGCATCAACGAAGGCTCTCCAAGTACTTGTTCTGTTACGGCAGCCTGTTGGCCCTCCAGATGAGTCCTCACGCCGTGGACTTGCTTTAATGTCTCTTCGTTGTGGACAACTGAAACCGCGTCTAACTCGAGATCAGTGGGACTCATTGTTATGCCTCACTGCAAGTTGGTTAACACAGGCTGGCGCCTCGACTGACCACTCTACTCCCTTTTCCCTTCATGCCTTTCAGCTCGTCGCAGCTATCGGTGCCCTATTTGTAAGCTCACTTTGTTCTAGCAAGACCGTTACCGCCGCTCTTTTTCGACGGGATATGGCTAAAGCTTCCTCAGTCGATCAGTTAATGGATATGAACCGAGAGGAGTGGGATGAGACTGACTTTGATTTTGTGGAGGTTTATGACAGTGAAGATGATGGAAGCGTACCTCCGATTGACTTTGAGGCCCTAGACCAAGCCGCCGCTCTGGTTGAAGATGACATTCTGGACGCAGACAACGAAGAACTTACCTTTGAGGACCCTATTGCCTGTCGAAGGTTACCGCCACCGGCTTCTATTCAAAAAGACTGGCATGAATTCTTCGCCGGTAATATTTACGGCTGTCTGATTCCACTGGCAGCCAATACGTGCCTCTGTGGAGACAAGAATTACGTATCTAAAGATACCCCATCCTCCTTGGCTTCGTTGTGTGCCGCGGTGAGCACCTGCTCCGTGAATAATCTGATAACTTGCCTTGAGCAACAGCCAGACATTGTTGTTACTTACCTATTAGAAAGTCCTACCCGAGGGTGCAAGCCACCTCAAGTAACGAATAGCGTCTTTTTTTCCGAGTGTCTTCTTGCTCCGCACGTGCGGAACGTCATTGATTTGTGCGTACGTTTTCTTAATAGCTCGCCTTACCAAGCTGGCCAGTTGCTGGGCCATATTTTACTTACGCGTCTGGTTTCCTCAAGGTCATTGGAACCGGTTAGACGAATGAGTGATGTTCTAATACCTCATCTTCCAATTAGTTGGGTTTCTGTACTTACCGAACCTCTCTCGGAAGACTTTGAAAACATTCTATTAGATTCGGATATGGTGGTGTCACAGTGGGGCCGTGGTCTATTTAGTGTTAGTCAGCTGTTAGGAGAAGATGCTATGCGCGGCCATCAACGACTTCTCTCCTATCTCCTCGCTTGGGATGTGATTGTAAGCTTACTGAGCTCAGCTTCTCAGCAAAGTAGAGCTAGTCTTCAGGCAGCTCTTCTCACAGACGCGAACTGGATTCATCATCTCTGCAGACTACTTTTAATACTAGGCCTGTTGATGCCAACGCAGGGAGAAATCAAGTCTCTGCTAAATGTCGCCTCTCGACTCGAACCTGATCCACGTCTTCTGCTCACATCATCTGCTCGCGCTAAAATATGTAGTGGATTGAGCTCTTTACAGAGTGCCAAGTCTGTATTCGCTCCCCCTGACCGCCTAGTTCAGCTACCCGGTCATAGACTTCCCCATGACCTTTCCTGTCTTGCTGTTAGACTACTACGGCGGCTCCTGGCGGAGTCGCCAGCTCTGATGCGGTCGTTGTACGCCGAATTGCAACGTGGAGTTGTGGGTGAGAGGATCACACCGGGTCAAGCGCGACAGCTGGCAGGCCACTTGGAACGGTTGGTTCGACGTCATTTCTCCGTTGATCTAATTTCCTCTGAAGTGGAATCAGTTGAACGGAAAGCAAGTGAATTTAAGCGGCGACTGGGTGCAGCACCCTACCTGGATGCGGGATTGCCCAGTGTCGGAAGCATCGATGTTAGAGGAAGGCCTCTATCCAGAGAAGTAAGTCTTTCTTACTGCCTATAGTTTCATTTATTGTGGACATCAATATTTGGGTTTTAATAATTTTCCCTTTAGATTATCACCACATACCACTTTTCGTCAGACCAGTCTTTAGAAATGGTCATTACGTTGCCAGAAAATTTTCCGCTCTCTCCTGTCAACGTCGAGGCTGGTCACAAAACTGGTGCTCCTACGTCAAATTGGCGTGCTTGGATCGTACACCTTTCCGTGTTTATAAATAATCAGGTTGGTTCCTTTTGTGCGAGTTCTTGTCTAACGACTGTACGTTGCCGAACTGTATCATGCGTGTTTCAGGTGTCAGAATCATATCAGTCTTGCTGTTATTTTTTCTGGTCTTTGGCAATTTATAAATTCTTACAAATAACGTTTTTTTCGTCAACGCATACTTTAACACCTATTTTCGTTCGCACGACGTCTTGTTTGCTCTCTTTCTCAACTAATATTACAAAGTCCGATACCCGCCGATTATAAAACCACTATCCTCTTCTAAATTAATCCTGAATTTCTAGGAATCTTTGTTAGTTTTCATATCCGTAGGGTATTTGTACAACTCTGGATTCTTATCTAGTCTCTTCAGTAATGCTGGCCCTTTTTCGCAAATGGAAGGGCTTTTCCAGCACATCGACATGTTATTCAATTACTAGCTGTCTCAAAACGTTCACGTGGGATCCCATCCAAACTTGTTTGGCGTGCATGTCGTGGGGCAATGTATGTCTTCTCTCAGGCAAATTCCACAGGCTCCTTTCGTTCTGCGATCCAATTTACTACGTGCCTATGTACTGAACGAGCACTGATTAGGCTTTTGGGGACGTGATGTTCGTTTTTTTGCCATCCGAGGAAAACATGGGAAAAGAAGCCGTAGTTATTACAACTTGTGTGCACTTAAATTGCCCCGTTGACCCGCCTCCATCTCGAATGGAAATTGGTGTTTGGTAGTTCGTAATTGGTTGATTAATTTTCGTGATGTAAATTGGCATGATATCTAAGACCTTATTTTCTGTACCATTATTTGGACCAAATCAGTTGCCTATCGATATCTTGATATGTTATATATAGCACTGATCTTGCCTGTTTTTTTGTATTAATCGTGAACCTTCAAGAAGTTTGTCCCCTCATCGCCTTATGCCTTTTACTTTCTAGAACGGGTCTATCCTCGACGGAATCGGCCTATGGCTGCGGAATTTGAAGAAGAAATTCGACGGAATCGAGGACTGTGCCATCTGTTACTCCGTGATCCATGATCGCAACTTCTCCTTCCCTCGGATGCAGTGCCGTGTTTGCAAGAAGCGATTCCACAACGAATGCATGTACCGTTATTTCCAAACTAGCAGAAACCCCACATGCCCTCTCTGTCGAAGCGTCTTTTATGCAACCAATTGATGGCTGTCAGTGGTCTTTCATCCTTTTTTACGGTGGCAGTCCCACCTACTTTTTGCGGTACTTTGCAAGAATAGAATATTTGTAGATTTACGGTTCCTGTCCAACAACCCCCTGGTTGATTTTTGGCTTATTTGAAGATTAGGCCTCGCGACTTAATTCAGCACTTTTAAAAACTAATTGGTCCAGATACACTTGTGCCACAGCTTAAGGACGTGGTTTTTTCCTATCACTTACATAGATTTGATTGCAAAATGGCTTTATTAATCCGGTTTGGACAGTGATCCAAGGTTTGGTTTTAGTAAAAGTTTGGGTCGCTCTGTGTTCCCACCTTCGGCACTTTACTTTGCGGTTACAATTTCATGCAAATCTACTAGGGGGTCAGACAAATCATGAGCTTCCTACATTGGCTGCGTACAAGAATGCATGAGGTGCACTAACGTGGCTGGATCCTTCATCGCGCTAAATGATATATGTGGGTATGCTGTTTAGGTATGCAATATCATTTTTAGCATCCTTGAGCCGCGCCTCGTCAGCCACGACAAAGATTATGCCGTTAATGAAAAAAGTCAGTTAATTAAACGATGCGTAACTCGTCATGTGATATACATACTTTAAGATAAATCTCTGTAGTGGGCCCCGGTGCGGTTTTAGAAACCACACCAGGGCCGACAATCTACGTTGACACGGCCCGACCGAAAGTAGAGCAGAACTGCAGATGACGAGTAGCTCAACCAATTTATTAAAGCAGTAGCGGAGTGTGTGAGTACAGAATAACAAGTGCGTTAGTATGGATTCGCTAAGCGTCGATCCTTGAGCGAGCAGAGTTACATGAAATGAATTCACGAAAATCGCTTGAATGGTGTTTGCTCAGGCTTGCTAACTACGTTCGCTCATGATTGATAACTGTGCTCGCTACAGCTCTTTCAAACAAACATAGGTATGTGGGTATTAGATATTCAAGAGTGGGCAACCTCGGGATCTCAAGCCTCATTGACACTGTCACCTCAGATTCTCCCAAACCGCCCAGACCTAAATTTTAGCGGAAGCAGGGTTTGGCGGTTTGAGTCATCCGTTCACTGGTGATCCTTACGATCACCCACGTTAAATGACATTTGGAAGGTCTGATACCAATTCAAAGATTGTTTGATTAGGCTGCTACAAGATCTTGCGTTTTGACAAACTACTTAGCTATGTATTTTGCACTTCAAAACTACGTAGGACTTGTGCTCTTAAGCACACACAAACAGCCCGACGCAAAACTATGATTGATTGTGATCTCAATAAGTATTGGTCTGTTTCCGCCTTCTCAATGTGTAAATTATGTTTCGCGTTTTTCAACTCAGGGGATGTATCCGGGCACGTGTTAATCGTGGATTTCACTGTTTACTTCTTGGATGCGCTTCACTTCATAGAGCAGGCCCACTTCGACTATTCGTTTAAGTCTGTCTTAAGCCCAGCAGTATTGTCTGTATAAATTTTCTCCCACGTCAAAATGATGAATTCTTTGTAAAACAAAAAAAACAGGTATTTAACATGTCTCTCACAACCACTCCACCACTCTTCCCCACTCACTAACTCAGCGGATTCTTGACGCGCAGGTGTTTTGAGTTAAAAACAATATGCATTGTAGTATAACACTAAATTTTATTGATTGGAATAAAATGAAATACACCCACGACGACAAAAAAAGATTGCTAGGCATATGGAAATCGAGGAAAAAGGAAGTTGCCATGCTCTGCACACTAAAACTAAATCAATGTTAGTAGCGTCAATCTGCTCCCGATACTAGGAGATTATGCACAACCAATCACACGTACACATGTTATTTGAAATACAATCGTCATGGGTTTCTGTTCGATTAAAATAAAGGGAGAAATGAAAGCACAAACGGCAGCGGTGTCTACACGTTGAGCCTATTTACACGCAAATGCTGAAGCTAGGACGAGAGGCGGTGAGCAATCAATCTACCGGGGACCAGTGGGAGGCTTCGTGTAGCCGTTGGATTTGGACGACGCAAAGATGTCAGTGGAGTTTTGATTGATGTCGGCGAGCTCCTCCATGTGACCGCGGTATTCTTCGCCAGCCCCATTCGTTAAAAGGCCCGAGTTCATCGTCCAGCTATCGATGTCATAGACTACCTTCTTTAAGCGATCCAACACGACCATGTCCTCTAAGCGGGATTTCCTAACGACATCCACATCCGACATCAGGGTCTGGATACGATCAGTTAACATTTTTTGGGTGTTTGCCAAATGCCCTTGAACGGCCTAAAAATATAACACAAGTATAATTTGATTCACATTTCAACATACATTTTAAACAAAACGACCCCTCTAAAACGATGAAGTTACATGGCTCATGAGGCCCACATGAAAATGTCAATCGAAGAGATTTACAAGGCACCACTGACAACTGTAATGACCAAGCAAAGTAATTCTCGAGAATTTCGACGTGTGACACTAGGGTAAAAGTAAATTTACTCATTAAGGACAGCCAGCCGGTTGGAAGCACGTATTTCAACAAATTTAACTGTAAAACGCACTCTCTACCAATACAAAAGAAATGTCCAGAAGCGTCTGAGTTTATTTCAATGTATTGTCATGGATAAATTAATTAGCCGATGTAAACCAACCTTCAGGACCCACCACTACTTAGAACGCGACTGAGTGGTGAAGTCACAGAATGAATGAGCTGGAGCTCAAACACACATACCCGCATGGATTTGAGCTGCTTAGAAAATTCCGTAAGCTTTGAGTTGACGTCGTCTGCGTGTTCACGCTGTTCTCTTCGAAGAGTTTCGACAACTTGGGCGAAATCATCAAGTTGATTGGCAACTGCTTTGAGACGTTCTTGTTGTTCACTAACTATGCTTTGAAGGTTTCCAAGGTTGCGTGGCGTTGCATCGGATGATCGGTTTTGATCCAATCGCGTCAAACTAGAAACTAATAAAGATTACGTATAAGTAACACCCCCTTGCCTCAACCTGCTTTCACTTTCATAACCATGCATTTATTATGTAACAATATAGGACATTGGTGGTGTTATAACTAGGAAAAGTTCGATCGCTACAATAGCTTGATTTATAATTCAAGGATTTCAACAACAGGAAAAAACAATGTTCTAAGTGACCTTCGAAACGGATTAATTTAAGTGAAATTACTCTGATAACACATTGTCCTATCATTTAGGTCCACTTGTTTTACATCCAGCATGGACCTTGATGGGCGCCACTCTTAGACGCCAAGCACAGCAAGCGTTCAGCAACCTTAATTCTAAGCCACATAATAACCAGGAAACGTGAATTTTGTGTGTGCATCGAGTAGGTCCCCGAGATAGACCATTAGATGAGATATTTCACAAACCAAAACAAGGAAATTATATATGTCATACGTAATCTACACGGTATGATCACTAATTAAACGAAGAATTCAGAAAAGAAAAATTATCTGACACTTAACGATCCCGTATAAATAAATACAAGAAAGGACATCAACAAAGGCAGGCAGTATTAGCAATAAATTAGAATTTATCCCATGTAATATTGAAAAATGAATTACCCCGAAAAAGCATAAATACTTAAATGAATTCGCCATTCAAAACCTACCCTTAACAACATAAAAATATCATGTCACATAGAAGCCTTAATTACCGTGACGATTGTCAGTGAAAGGACTATGCGAGGATGGTTGTCGAGCTACGAAAACAAACTAAATAAAACCCAATTTTGTGAAGGCATATCGAGGGAGACAATGCGGCATGTTACAGCAATAGCCCCCCACGTTTACCAAAATTTTATGCAATGAGTAATTTCACAATACGAAAATTCCTCCAATAGCTAACTACTCCAAGAGTCAACTGGCTTGAATTGCCACTAAACACGCTCATTTTCGCATCGCTTTATTAAGCCGGGTAATTGTTAAGCAAAAAACGAATGAACAATTGACTTTCACAAAATCTGACTGCTTGCGTTAATTATCACCCGTTATGCTTCAGTGGTTTTCAAATATATGTTGCAAAAGATGTTGGTACATCTCATAAGCTGCCCCATAGGTAAAAACTAAACGGTCTGGAATGATTTGAAGCTTCGCTCGACGTTGCTAATAGTGGTACTGAAACGTCTACACAGAGGGTAATCGAACTACAATCGTTAAAAATCTAACTTAACCTAATCATGTATTTAAAATCATGAGCAGTTTAAAAGTTCGCCGTTTGATAAGCATTGAAAGCTCAATGCAAAACTATTCGCCACTATTTCAATAACGAATGGATAGTTGTACAGAATGTTTAAAAACCTCTTCGCTTTAATCAAAATGTGTCAAAATCAGGCCATGGAAATGAAAGTGCATAGGGTTGGCTGATGATGAATTCTTCCTCCATTTTCTTAGGCCTCCTTTCAGTTACTCATGGATAAATCTAAGAATTGTAGCACTCGAAACTTTCAACAAGAGTCCTTTTTAGATGCAAAGTGAATTATTCCGTAGTTCTTGCTAGAGCATGCCAAGTGTGAGGAAGTATACTTAACTGTCATGTTACATCCGAGGAACAGTTCTGTCATAAACAGCTTTCCTCTAATGACCATCACCTTTGTTTATTGGTGGATTAAAATTTGGTTGACGTTCGTTGGGTGCAAGTTCACTTTAGATATTATTCAAAACTTTCCTGGGTTGTGGTCGTAGCATCCAAGAGATGCAGGAACGTTAGCAGCGTTTAAGCAGACGGCCTAATCACATTGGTATTCATGGTTTCCCTCACCCCACAATAAAAATTCGACGATGAGTAATAACAAGAATAATAGTCGCCACTGCCAAGCTGTTAAAAAATCAGTGCGATCAGATACTCTTAGGAATTTTCTGATAGTCTATATTAAATTTGCTTCAAAAATGTAGCGTTCCTGGTGTATCAACGGGAACAGACTAAATCAGACATTTTGTGAAAGTTTTACGAACAAATGATATTCGATTCATAAATAGTGGTTATTTATTCAAGTCACAAATCCGCTACATAATATAATAAGTAAATATGCCGTGTTATACTTAATAATCAACCTCCTAAAACAGCTTGAACTCGATGTTTTTCCATCACAACAATTGACCAACCAGATTCGTACACCACACAGTTGAACCAAAAAACACAAACATGAAATTTAACTCACATCGCGTCTTGATGGTGCTAGATTTACTGGTGACGATTTCATGGTCTGGTTTAGTGATGGAGTTCTTACGACCAAGTGCAGAAAATGCAGCGTTACCTTTTTGAGTGGCTGGCTCGTTTCTGCCGGATCGGGGGGCTTCGGATTTGCCAGTAGCCTTTGCGTCAGTTCGAGGCACCTGCAAAAAAGAAACAATGGGTATCCCACCAGCTATTCCTCATTAGAGGCGTAGTTACGTGTTGGACTCGCTGAAATAAGCGCGAAATGCCAGCTCAAAAGCAAAGAACTTTTCGCGAGTCTGAATAAAAGGACTGGGCTTGACCAATGTACATTTAATTGTCGGAAAACGCGGTAAATGACTTCTCCAAACGGATTAGAAAAGAAACTAGTGAGAATAAAAGAATTCTTGAGGTAAAAAAGAAAATCTAGTGTGTATTAAACAGAAGAGTTATCTCAAAAATTCTGACCGTGTAAAAATTATCGACACAAATCGAAGTCAGCTGACTTACAGAAGATGAGCCAACATTTGATGTCAGCTTGTCCGGAAGACGTTTGGAAGAAAGTCGTCCATGATCTCCAGGACCGCCTTCTGCTGAGTCACCACGCCTCTTCACCTCTAAAACAGATGCACTCAATTCGGCTAGGAAAGAAAGTGGGCTCAATTCGCAAAATCTCTCGAGGCCCAGAGTATCGACTTCATTTGAACGATTTAGACGGAAATTTATATTTTCGAAAATCAAGTGCCAACCTCGCAAGTGGAGTTGAATTTCAAGGGCTGGATCAGCTTCTTGTAAGGTTTAAAACGTGTTCTGATATCAAGGTCAATTGTGTGTGTGTGTGCGTGTGTGTGTAATAAAATGGTTTCCTTTCGAAACGGGGAATTGATGATTGTATTAATTTACATGGCCTATATAAACTCTTCAAGTCAGAAATTCGCATCAAAAGCCAACTTTTTAAGTTGTTTTAAAAGGACCTCCAGCTCATCAATCTAGAATTTCCTTCAATTATGCATTCGAGTTTTCCATTAACGCAACAGCTGTTTTTGATTAGTGCAGGAAGCCAGCCATGGTGCAGTGCGGCTGACCTTTGATATCGAAACAAATATAACACGCGGGCAGAACTGGTCCTAAACCACTAGGGTGTGCTTGCTCAGCTGAAACACCAGAATCGAACAAAAATTCCCTCAGTATGAACACTTGAAATTGAATTTACTAGGGGAGGATAAGACAACATGCACGACATTACCATCTGATTTGGCAATGAGATTAGAATACAATATGATACATTGAGTCTAAGCAACGCATGCAAAGCCGAATCGAATCTAGTATGGCTTGATTTAGGTGCAGAAATATCAGCTTGGTTAAAATTTCATGAAAAATAACCGAGAATGCTCCTTTTGCAATTTTAATGTAGCGATTATGTGGTAATTTGGCTGAACATATGGATGACCTATGAACTTGGTATCAACCTAAAATCTAAAAAACACATGTGACCGTTAGCAGCGTAAGAGCGGGGAACTAGTTTATGAAAAAATTATTTGCATTAACATCGTTGAAAGGCGGGCAAGAAACCAGACGAGAAATTTAGGTCTTTCAAAGCATAAAGTAATCTGAAAGTACACAAATGAATGGGGTCAAGAATTCTTAGAGCTCAGTTTACTTGTACTTGGGTGTATGTACACAGAAACAGAGGAATACAAGTGAAAAATCCGTACTGTGACTCTCAACCGCATTACTCTATCTGATTAAAAAGTCCATGAAACTAAGACTGGTAAACATTTATGATGGCACTAAATGCTAACCAACACTAAGATTTCAAAATAGATTCGAGTGTGACCCGCAGAGAACCCCGACTTCCACATTTGTTAGCATCGATTTCAATTTTGGGAGACAGTTTGTCTCTTCATGATGCATTACCATTACCACGCACTCAGCGACATGTTGCGAATACGCCAAAGATATGCATTATAAGTCGACTCTTGGGGCTGCAGTTACTGAAATGACGAAGACCCACCACTCTTGCTCGCGTTTAAATCTAAGCGTTTGCTCCCGCCACCGGAGCTGGCAGCTGCGGAGTTTGGAAGGGGTCTGCTATGGGCTGAAGAATTCGTGCTATTGTGCGCTCGCTGGGTTGAAGAGCCAGTCCTCATCTAAGGAAAAAGAAAAAAAATTGCTTATTTTGCCTGTATTTAGTGATAGCATCTGCTACGATCTAGAAGTCTAACTTTGGCAAGAATTTATTAGTGTCGAATGGTTATAACAGCAGAAATCAAACGTATAAGAACTCACAACTCGAATCTGTTGTGCATAAACTGTGACTTCAAGTAATTCGGTAGCACTACTTTATGCCTAGGAAGACGGTAATTTGAAATGGTAACACCTTTTGAATGGCAACAAATCGTACGAGCCGAATAGTCAAAGCGCTGTTACGCAATACCGAGTCGAAATAACATCGCACTTGAGCAATAAGTAAACAAAAGTCTGGATTATTTTGCTAAAGCTGGTGCTTACCTTGTAGTCCGCAATCGCACGCTTGAAACTGGGGTCATTAGGATCGGCCACTTTTACGAAGTTGTCGGGAAAAACGCCCAGTTTGTTGCTGCGGAGATTGATCCCGCGCCACCAGCCCTCCTCGGGTAAATCACGACTAAGAACTTGAATGAAGTCGTCCACAACTAGTTCCAATTCATCGGACTGCTCCGGTGTGTACCCGTAGACCACCTTCACATAGTCCAAGCTCTTATTTGATGCAGCGGCTGAATTTGTCGGAGGAGAGGCCGTTGCCGCAGATGCTGGATTACGTCAAAGAAACAATTAAACAGCCAGCGTCACGTTTCACAATAATTCGTTTTATCTGCACCTTTCAATAGGAAAATAATCCTCAATATAAGGGGACAGAAAAAGCCGAACTTGTAAGGCACATAGTTAACCACTAGAAAGTTTGCTGGTAAAACCCATTTTTTTGATGTAATATTAGTCGTAGCTTGAGTAGGCTGCATGACTTTCACAGATGTTTGCGTCTCCTGATGGTCCTTACCAACTACCGACTAGGGCGTGTAGACGCGGAATGTGTTACCAGCTGCGGGAAACCCCAGAAGCAAGACCACCACACTTCCCACTTATCTGGGTGAGCCATCCACCATGGCCGACTGTCTAGATGAATGGGTGGCTGAAGGTGGTTGAGAGCTGGTGGGGTTGATCGACAATTTACACGTACAAAACAGAAAAGGCAAGCCGCAGGCCTCAGACTACACAGAAAGTCATGTTACAAACAGCAAACTAATGTTGTCACTCAGGCTACAAGGACTATTGCATGCAATAAAGCAAACGCCTAGGACATGCAGGCTACAGATTTGTGCGGTGGCGTGTGTTTGTTCAGACGCACGCATAATTGTTGCAAACAAAACAACGAAGTTCATTGCCAAATAGCCATGGAAGGACTATCCATTAGGCACGCGGATGAGAAGTGTTCGCGGCCAATAGAGCAGATAGGGAACGCGCAGTAACAAAAAGACAGCACTAAATGCGAACACCAACGGGTGAGAGTACATAGTTTCTTCTACGTGGGGATGCATAAAACTTACATCAAGCGCGTGAGTTCTGCTTCCTAAATAAGTCAGTATTCGGTTTGGTAACGAAGATAAACGCAAAATACTACGATTAAAACTTAGGTAAAATTTGGCAAAAGCTTACAAAAAACGTTTCACCAACTTACTGTGGGGTTTGGACTGAACAGCAATCTGAAAAATAGGCAAGTTAAAGGCAGTTAAACATTGTTTCAAATTAATTCCATAGCAGTACCAATCAATTATGCGTACAGCAGTGGGGAATTTCAAATTATTAAGTGCTGTAACTGTACATTCAAGTAATAAGTGCAAACACGACCACTAAGGCTAAGAGACCAAGCAGCGTTGTATTGGACTTATTGCAATATGTACTACTTGCAGTTTATTAAACAAAATAAAACGCAATAACTGATATGATTAGTTAGTTTACTAAAAATATCCGCCGATTAAGCAAGAGACATTGATTACGATGGCAACTACGCAACCACTGTAGCTAATTTCGCACGTTAAAGATGTCCTAAAAAATTATTGTATACTATTCAATATTAAACAAACATGACAGCCACACATTTTGGTGTTTGAACTGAGTTTGCAATAAAGACATCAGATAACCTAAGACTTCACAGCTAGGTAATACTAAGGTAACAGAAGTGGAAACAAAACGCAACAAGTTATTCCACAAAGTATAAGTCTATGACCGAGAAATGAACTTGATTTATAACAGAGAATTAGTCGATTGAAAAAAAGACGGAACACTAAAAAAGTGGTATTATGACTTCCATATTTCGCCGATTATTGAGAATGAATTTGTAAATGTTAAAAGCCTTTTTGGCTAAAATATTTTGCGACACTTAATAATAACATTATTATTATTATTAAAAAAAAGTGTTTGATATTAAAGGAGCTAGGTGCCGATGTGGCGAGCAACAGAAGGCCCGCAAATAAATTGGTGGTTTCAATTCAGTCCAGACTGCAACTTCTCCTGGTGCATCGGCTCTCGCCATCCAAACTAAACACTTACCACAATTTCCGCGATCAATAATCTCACAATGCGAAAATTTCTCCAACTCAATCAGGAATCGTCAATAAAATCCACACATCCACGACATCCTTAAAGTGATCTAATGTCTACCAATGGCTTTGCAGACCGCTTACTGTGCTTCTGGAGAAGAACCTACTTTAATGACGAAGAAATGTTCCGCGACACCGAGACCAACCATCATTAAAATGACACCTTTAGGTGATAAAATCAAAAGGCGTCAGCTAGTGATCCCCATTTTTAACAATTTTAAGAGTTGACTGACTTCAATTGCCACCACACATGTTTATTTTCTTATAGTCGCATTAGGCGGAATAACTGTTCAGCAAAAAACGACTAAACAGTTGACCCCAGCAAAATCGGACTGGTTACGTTAATGGTGCTCCGACCCGCATCATTAGGTGGCCGGGTTGTCAAATAGATGTGGAACAAGCTCAGTTTAGCGTGGTGAAAGACAACAGCCAATGAAGAAGAGATGTGCAGAATTTAAGCCACGGGATCGCGAGAACTATTTGGCTGTAAAACTGCGTTAATAAGGGGTCTTTCTAAGACTTAACTGTGCTACGAAAGTTATGTGCATTTTTTATACTTTGCAGTGTAAGACATAAGACTGCATTACTTACTTTCTCCCCACCGTCATCACCAACGTTGAGAGAGGAAGAACTGATAACCTGTCTGCTAGACGCACGACCAGTTTGGCATTCCTGCTGGCTAGCCACTTTTGTCTAAAAAAAGGATGATCATTTAGACAGAAATGAGCCAAATCTGAGCAAATCCAAAGACTAACCAATAACGCAATGAATGGGTAGGGATAAATTATACACCAAACTGCACACTACTAAGTGGTTTCAATAAACCAGATCTAAAACCAATGGATAGAACCACAAATGCGTTTAATATCTTAATTCACAGCCAGGACATGATATAAAAAATTCTCGCTCAGACAACTCACCACTAGCAATAACGTGCATGCTCTACTAAATGACGTTGGTTCATAAATTCTACGATCTGGGTGAACTGCAGCAGCACACAACCTTAAAGGCTAAACCACACAAATGGGCTTTGTTGCCATTCAAGTGAAACTGGAAGTATCGTATTACAAGAGACTTCCACTATTCAATGTCTGCCAATTTGAAAGGGCTTGTGCGTTTTACCAAGGCAAATCCTAACTGGCGTTATCACGGAAACTCGATAACTAGAATTCAACATATTGCTGTGATAAGCACAGTTTGGAATATGAAGCCTTAGGCCTTCCTATTGCAAAGTACCGTTGAAATCGTTTATAAAAGTTACGCGACCAGAGCCCTTACCATATACCTCGGAGAATTTTTTAATAACAAGTTCTAGTTTTTCCGGAAGAGAGAATGGCGCCAGCAACGGAAGAACGCCCGCCGCAACGAGTGAATGCGTGTGTCATTACAACGTACTTAACCTTGGGGACATGAAATCGATTTTCATGAAGCCTAGAACTAGTGCGTTTATGTCATTGTAGTAGTGCAGCTTAGAAGCACCACTGATTTCTTAGGATTTGATTTCTATAAAACGTTCGTTCAGAGGACGAAAATCAAGGTCGCGGGTAGGAATGTACTTTACGGCAATTCCAACATAAACTTTGCGCTATTTTTGCTCAATAAAACGTATAACAAGCAGCTGCACACGTAAACGCTTCCAGGTTTTGTGATTTACTGTGTAAACGAGAACTTCACAATATCAGAAAACATACTAAAACAAAATATAATTGGAAACCCTATTATTTTTGCCAATTTAGCATTACCAACAAAGTAGATAAGCAATGCTCTTCGTAAAAAACTGATCTGCTATCAAAAGTGCTCAAACGATAACATAACAGAAGGTTAAGAAGCATTTACAGCGAAATTATCTGCAATTTTGGGAGATTGTGGGCTTAAAAGATAACAAACGAATTCACGTACGCTGTTACTTTTCCCTGGCGCAGGCTTAATGATCTAAACAGCATTTATAAAACTGACAACGATTATTGACATTACTCGGACAAAGTTATCAGGAAATACGCCTTCTTTCCCATTGAAAGTTCCGATGTACCAGCCCTCCTCAAACTGTGAAACATTAGTGACAATATCGCCCTGTTTCAAAGTAAGTTCATCTCTTTCTTCCGCCGTATAATCGTATTCAACTTGGACTTCCATTTAAAGAGCACAAAGACAGAAATAGAAGCGCAGACAGAAACCGTGCTAGCAAAACTAAGGCCACACTAGTAAACGGCGCGCTGGCAATAATAAACTAGCTCCACCAATCAGACATGAGGAGCATACATTAAAAAATAATAGTCGTTGCCTTAAAGTGTTTCTTTCAGTAACCAAAGATCAACTGCTACAAGAGAATTAGTGCCAAATATTTTATCCAGCAAAGTGCATAATGGTAAAAGTTTAGCATTATTATTAATTTTTAGGTCAAAAATTCACCCAACGGCATGCCTTTATATTTTTGCAATCGTCCATGACAATTGTATTAAACGCTTTTTTAATCAAGGGGATAAACCGAATTGAATATCAAATGGGTTAGCGGTCTATACAGTTGTGTACGTGGGATGAACACTCAAGTGAAGGCACCAACATGGATATTCGGTCTTTCATACGCTTCACAGAACGTGTACTAACGCAGGCAGAGGATGACCTTATTGTTCTCATGATCGTCCTGTAAACTATGTGAATAACGCAACGTGATTAAGCTAGATGTGTTCACGGTTGCTTCTGGCATCTTCTGCCTTCTGGAATTTTGCCAGTAGCAACTTCGAGTTACTGGGCCAAAGTCTTATTTAGCATGCAGTTTTTGAGTCGGAAATTTGGTGTCTGTTATTTTTTTTTAATGATGTCATTCAATAATGTGTTTTAATAAAAACAATATAATTTTATTTACTGTTATTTGGTTGCTACTAGGTTTTTATTTTTGTTTGACCTCAATTATTTTAATAACAGTATTTATGTGTTTTATCGAATCGCTATCTTTACATACTTCTCAAATTTTTTTGATTACGTGTGTGTTTTGTGATGTCAGGTAGTGGTTATGTGCCGGTTCCGACGGAGCCATCTACCGATGCACAAGATCCCTTTGGGAGCGCTGCGAAAGGACCTCAAGTATTTTAAGTAGTTGCAAATTTTTACAACGTTAAGGTTGGACCGAGTTCCCCTTCGGCCTTTAGTCTTGATTTCTACCGGGATTACTTCGATGTTGATACACACCAGGTACATGTACTGGCATTTGTGTATTGTGTGCACGCTTCCATTGCCATTAATCAAGCACACAAAAATTATTAATAGTAATATACTTCATAGCAAAGCCCTAACAATTTATGTGCTTTAGGTCATTCAGCGTCTTCTGTGTGGGCTTATCCCCTTTTCAAAGAAGTATTCCTTGACTGCGTCCTTGCGCCCAATGCCTGATATCTATGGACCATTTTGGATTACAGCAACCCTGATTTTTTCAGTTGCAATTTCAGGAAGTATATATGAATATATAATCTCGAAGGATCTGTCTTCATTATCAGCTTTTAATTTTGGCCGTGGTGAGTATTTTTCATGTGTTATTTGTTAGTTGTGTTTTGTGTGAATTGATTCTACATATGCTTCCCAAAAGCCACAGCATGTTGCTTGTTGTTTCAAATCGGTAAGGGCTTATACATTGTTATATTCGCTTAACTCAAATGTATTTTTCATAACTGTGACTGGAGTTTTTAATAGGAGCACCACTGAAGTGAAATCTTATTCAAATCTTCATTGCTTTGAAGTTTTGTTTACATAATTTTCTTTGTTCAGTTAAGATCATATTCGCCGATAAATTTTCGACTATTTACTTGCTTGATTGCAATCATTGTGATTGTTCCGTTTTATCGTTGATTCCACTTTTTATTACTTTTTTAGTTACTGTTTCGGCCGCAATACTCTTCTTTTACTGGGTTCTCCTTCCTGTTATCATAACTTTCATTGTGTGGATAAGGGGGCGGAACTCTTCCTCAGATTTTAACTCAGTCGTTGAAGAACCAATGCCTAAGTTTGGTTCCATTTTAAGTGAACTACTTGCTATTTACGGGTATTCTTTGGCAATCTACATTCCGGCAGTTGTAAGTATTGTTATAAAAATGCAAAATATAAACCAATTTAGCACAAAAAGCCACTGTTTCGGGATTTTATCTTGTACTTTTTGTACTTGTCATGCAACTTTTGGTTAAATGATTATTAGGTACCCTGTTCTAAGCATATCTGTAATATTATTTAAAGTTGTGACCATCTCAGGCTGCCATCAACGTGTTAGGCGCTAGTAAAATTTGAGCACTTCATGTTTTAGATTCTACTGATTATTCCCATCTCCTTTGTGCAGTGGACACTGCTTGGGATAGCCTCTCTGATCTCTCTCAGTGTACTTTGCTCTGCTACATGGTCTACTTTCAAGCAGAAAAGGAAGAGGGTACGCTACCAACTGTCGTTAATGTAAAGATTCTGCCCCTTTTATTGTTTACACCAACTTCGATTTGAAATCTTGTGTTTTAGAACACGTTCAGGAAAATAATGCATTTTTTTCAAATTAGCAACCTTGATTCTTAACTGTTGTCTACACTTCTCTCTTTCGTTATTTTGTCCTGAAAATAAGAGCGCGTAGGCCTAAATAGTGCTAGACGTTAGTCTTAAGTCGATCAATTCATATAATCGTTTCATCACGTTTTGTATGTTTTTGATCTCTTCGCAACAGCTTATCGTTGGACTCTTCGCCCTTATAATCGTTGCCCATGTTTCAATGATTGTATCAATCTCAGTAAGTTAATTCGCTTATAATTTTGCGTCATTGCTCTAGAAATTTAATGGAGAGTGCAACAACCACAGCTACATGTCACACAGCTTATCTAAACATTAAAATATTAAGGACCTACCAATGACGGGTTCTGCCTCATATCGTGGCTTTTATTTTCAGCCTTATTCGTATTAAATTTTCCTTGTTATTATTATAAGTTTATTCAATGATAAGTGTATAAGTGTATAATCGCCACAATCGTCTGCCTTTGATTCCTCGTCATTTCTCTCAATAAGCCGTTGTTTTATGTTTTCTCACTGCAGCTAAATTACGGTGGATAGCTTGAAGGAATTCATAAAATAACTGCGTCACATGTAGTTTTTATTTCTGTACTCTCTAAATTGGGGTATATTTGTATCTAAGTTATGAAGATTATCGGTTTGCAAATGATTTTAAAGCCAAAACTGTAGTCTTTAGATAACGAGCAATGTTAGGGCTGTCTTTTAACATCGTAGCTTTTTTGGTTATTTACACTTTCCCTCCCTAGGTTCTCTATTTTCATCATACGCCTATTACGCCGGCCCCAGCTGTGGGATCAGCTGGTAGTGAATCCCAAGTGAACCTAAAACAAGAACAGTAAAAGAACTACTACATTTAAATTGGTGATGGTTGTGATAATCTAGGCCCCCATTACTTGTAATTGGCTGTTACTTCCTTGCCTCGTTGTGTTGCCACGCGGTTTATATTTCACTCAGAAATAAAAAGTACACCACCAATTCGCGCTGTCACTAATACCTATGAGGCCCTTGTGTTCAAATGACTGCAGGAATCTTCTGTTCGCAAAATACCTTGATTCGTTACAGCTTTCAGCTATGCTACAAAAAGCTAGCGACTCAACTTTTCTGTGCCGTAAGCCAAGCAAAACTCACCGAGGTCTCGCCGAATTTTTTTGGTGAGGATGCCCAGCCGTCCTGTCTATCCATGTACGGTTCGCATCGTGGTTACATCTCGGCGTCTCTTTATCTGAGCAGCTTCAAAGAAGGTATTAAGGTGAGGGTAATAAAGCAGGCAATAGTTGATTGGCTCACTCTGGTAACCACTATATCCGAAGACACAAATCGCTGGAATTCACTAAAACATGGTGTAGCTCAACCTCTTATAGTGAATGAGGTCGCCAGTCGTGTGGATAATTTTCACTCGGCACAGCATTCGTCGTAATTTTTTGTTCGTGGAGTGGGGCTGTTGAGATCTTGAAGCCACGCCAAGGCATCCGTTTTATTGGGGTCTAGGGACGATAATTAGATGCACCCAAGCGAATACTAAGACGTGAAACGGTGAGTACTCGACAGCTTACTGGACCGCATCAATCGAAACGCCTATACGATTAGTTTCAGCTGTGCCGTGTTAATTCCAGTAATCAGAAACTTGATCAACAATAATAATAAAACTGCATTCCGTTGACGTAGTTAGGTGTACCTACGTAACACACTGCTAAATTTTCCAATGAAAGACAATGTAAGTAAGTCGATGGGATCTTGAATCAAATATATGCAAGTAAGGAGAGGAGGGAGCTATGTTTCGTTCATATTTTCAAGTGGGGTCTGCAGTACCTGAGACCGAAAGAGATGCTGAAAGGACAATAAGGCGGGGAGATGCGATTCACTGTTCGTATGTTGAAATCAATTAAGGGCAAGAAGGTCCATAGATGACTACAGTCTTTAGAATAACTTGGTTGAGTAAGCTTTTGTTGATGGGTCTCCGCCGATGTAATTGACAGCACGCTATTTGCATGAAATTCTCGCCAATTTCCCAAGAACAACCCGGTCATCCTCTGCCTGCGTTAGTACACGTTTTGTGAAGCGTATGAAAGACCGACTATCCGTGTCGGTGCCATCACTTCAGTGATCATTCCAAGTACACAACTGTTTAGACCGCTAACCCACTTGATATTCAATTCGGTTTGTCCCCTTGATAAAAAAGCGCTTAATACAATTGTCATGGACGATTGCAAAAATGTAAAGGCATGCCGTTGAGAGAATTTATTGCATAAAAACTTCACGATAGTAGTGGGATATTTAAAAGAAGGCGAGTTGCTAGTGTATAGAAGGGTTTAAAACACCGGAGAAGTAGCATTGTTAGGAGGCGCTGGGAGTGGTTCAAGACGTCCATGCTGTTGCATACTTGAGGTCTACCATTCTTCCATTAATCAGGCTCTGAATCAGGTATTCTTTGTTTACAACCGTGAAACCCAGAGTTTCGATCCTTGAAAGCATGAAGGCTGGGACCTGAAATGCGGGATATCAATTATGGGAGCAGGGTTCGCAGAATCCGCCGTTGTATGCACTATTTAACCTAGTTCGGAGGTTTTGATGGCAAAATATCTGTTCAAGTCTGAGATTTAGGCTTATCATCGATAAGGTGCGCTGGCGTTTCTATCAAGGTATTCATGCATGAATGTATGTATTAAGTATTTCCACAGCTACAGAATATATTTGCATAAAGAGTAATAACCCACTCTTTCCTGGTCAACAAGAACAATCTGCTGAGGACCCGACGACATGGGCTCCCCGTTGATTGAACAACTTGTCTTCCAGGCAGTGAGCCAGTCCATAGCCTCCGTCGAAGACAAGACAGTTGGTGGCGCGGTGATGATAATGGCACCATCCGGGACATTCTCATACGTACATACAGCGAGTCGCAAAATTGAAGACCATCCCTCACCGAAGCCACGAGGATCGTCTGTTATTATAGCAATTAAGCTTGCTGATGCGTAGCCACCCAAGGATAAAAGCGTCTGCAGATGAGGACGGCCAGGCAATTCGGCATATAAGTCGGGAACTTCAGTGCTAAAATTTACATTTTACCGTATTTTTGTGATTAGAGTTAGGTGGGTTGGATTTAATAGCTGAAAAACTATTCAGAAGGTTCTATGGGCCAAATGTGATAGCCGATGCGTTGGCCACAGATGAAATGACAACTAATGTCTGATTAGGGGACCTCTTTTCGAACCAATTTAACACTAGAGAGCGTGACACTGCAAAATTGGGAATGACACCCTCCAACACAATGGCGGTGTGTGCAATATCATCAGTTAGTTCACGCTAAGGTTAGCCCACCTTTGTGCTCTTGCTTGATTCGTACTAATTCCATACTTAAAAATTTATATCACCGAACAGCTAAAATGCTCACTTTTGGCATGTCTCACCAGCTACTAGGACGGTTGGGAGATCTTTATGCTTTTAGAAATACTCAACGCCGTTTTCTTGCTGCAATAATTGTGTCAAGTTCAAAAGTGGCTGAGAGATCCTGATACGGTTTTTTGGTTCCCAAAATTCAAAATGCAGATTATTAACTAAAGCCATAGAAAGTCCTCAAGGAAATCTGGAAATAGATAGATGTGCTCGAATAGGGCCTGAAGTAATCTTATATGTGCGCCTACAAGCTGCTTATCTTGTCCGCGTGATAAATACCTCGATGGCTCACAATGGTTGTCAAATTGGTTTCAGCCGAAAGCAACTGAATCAAAATACATCCTTGGGTCATAAGAAATAATTCCCCAAGGGTGTTTGCATTCAGTTTCATCACGATTGCGTATTTAACGACGACGTCAAGTCTCAAATAGGCAAAAATGTAAAATGTATGCCGTGGCCTCATGTGGCACTTACGCAACCACCAGCTGATCGGTTATCCTGTCTACCCCTCTCGAAAGTTCGTAGACGACTCGAGGCGACCTCCTTAGCAGTTCGTAGGGCAAGTCGGCGGGCTTTTTGGTGGACGTTAGTGAGGACTGGTCTAAGGGCATGATGGGTTCCATACCCGCAGCCAGAAGACAGGCGTCAAGTAGCCATGTTCCACGCAGCAGCGGCACTCGCCCCAAAGCCGCCAGGCCCTGGAGAAACTTCAGTGTCCTTTTGTGCGAAGGAGCGACTAGGGCGATGTGGGGGCGCTCCGAGTAGTGTAGGTCCATCAAATTATCAGTTGAAAAGACCCCATTTTCTTCCAGAAGTCGACCGGTCGCGGAGACACGGAGGGCATCAATAGAGGTCAGCAACTGGCCACCCCCGCCCAAAATTAAAAGTTGCAGGAAGTTGGGATCACTACATGCGGCCACTGTGAGAGAGAGAGAGAGGGCAATTACAAAAGGGCGCTTAGCTCTCCCTGGGCCTGCCGTAGAACCAAACTAAAGTCCGGTCCGACAATCTGGGAGTCCCATCTCAAACAAGTAAAAAACATTTGCCCCACTATTGGTGTGGGTTGCGCTTCCCACTCGTGCATTTTCGGGACGGAGTTGTAATACAGACAACATTTGGAGAAATTTGCTTGCACGATGTCTTTGATAGCTCCGAATACGACCTAATTGCTTCATCTAATTAATGACGTTCAGAGTTACCACATTTAGTACACTTTTCTTTTCGGTTTTTGTCTTTCAAAACAGCACGACTCTGATCTCCATCAGAACAAGGAGCAATATTCGAATTATCGGTCTTCGTACTTCCGTGTGCACTGTTTCCAGTTAGGGTTCGAGGCGTCAAGACTTCGTGAATACATATAGAGTTCGGTCGATCCGCTGCAATATCGCTGAATTCAAGGCCACAAGGCAATTTACGCTGACAGCAATAACAGGGGGCATTAAAAAACCAGTGAAGTGAATCGTACTGACACTTTCTCACATTTCGCAGCGGGACCATCTTCTCCCGCATACCCCCCCCGCTATCCACCCAACTCATGTAGCCAACCAGCCACTACAAGTGCACCCAAAATGAATTTTTTGTCACTCTCTCCCGCCTCATCTATTTCAAGAGTACCTCGTGTTATTTTATCGCGGCGCAACACCAGGTTTCGAGCAGCAGGAATCCTTTTTTTTCATATCTGTAAATAAAACCAACTAGCATTGTTACAGGTTAGCATTCGTACAACGCTTTTGCGTATCAAACTAAGGGAAAATTTAATTCATCGACGGGGTTGTATTTGGAAACAAAAACCTACTCCAGACGGTTCATAATAGATGAAAGTGTTCCAAGGCGTTTGTTAAGAAGGTATGCATGCAGACTCATTTACGGGGCTTAATCGTTTGGGCGACCACCTAGTACAGTGGTGGACCAATATGCAGGTCTCGTCATAGCGAACTCGATAAGGGCTGTGTGTTTGCTTACAAAAAGCAACCGAACTTATAGATAAGCGCCAAACAAAGCCGTCATCCCCAAGTGTGGTTTGTCCAAAGGTCAATGAACATAAGTAGAAAAGCTTAAATGACTCCAAAGAGCCTTAGAATGACAAGCGGACCATGAAATCTTACCAACCTCATCAAAACTGAAAGTGTGTCCCGGGTTATGAAAAGCCTGTGTACAAGAGCAAACCGATTGTCACCTAGCCCAGGGAGTGGGATAAGATTTCACCACGTTACCCGGGTTTCCAAATACACCTATTCCGTCCAATCCTGCCGTGGCCGAAGCAAGTTAATGACATACGTGACCACTTCTTTGATCTACAAAGTGCTTATATACTCCAAGGTAAGTTCCACGGTAATTTTTGGCGAATAGTTGCTCTTCGTTAACGGTGACCCCTAAAGAAACAGTTTTAAAAATCATGAAGTTACGCTTTTCAAACGTGCATTTCAAACAATACACTACTTATTTAGCGAGTACTAATTTTCAGGTTGTTGCCAAATGAGTTTGTAGAACACCATTCATCGGTTTAATCAATGTGTTAGATTTTAAAATGAATTTGCGTGTAATTGGACCTAGCCAAACATTGGGACCGCAAATTGAGACCGATCTTATCAGCACCAGGAACTGAACCAATCCCGGCCAAGCATGCCTAGCATTGCCTTAACCAACTGTAGACCTGGGGGTAAGCAAATGCTTAACGCCCACAGACATGAAGATGCGGTCATCCTCAACTCGAGCAGTAAACACCATACTAGCCAATCCGGAAATTGCGATTGAAAAGAGATAAAGTGCAGTTTCTGCCGCATGGAGCATCTTTAATAAATGCAAGAAGGGATAAGACAGCTTACATTGAGTGGTGACATTGGGGTTAGTGGAGGGTACATGGATGCTATCCTGACCGCTTGATTGGATGCCCGTTGTGCGGACGATGGCCCATTTTGAGAAGAGGTCTTGACAAGGCACAGGAATACGGTATTTCCGGCACAGTCGTGTCAACTCATTTGCATCCGACGTGGACATTCGAGAAACTACGCGAGATGCACGTGCTGAAACCCAACAAGATACGTGGGATAGGTCTGTCAGCATTATTGTAGACCAGCATTGGCAAAATGCCCTGCCAACTTTCATTGTGTATCCACTCCCTGGTAGCAGTCCTATTAATCATTTGATGCTCCATGACAACTACAGTGGATGCGTACGCGTCATGATTTTTGTTTTACTTTGCTAATCTCGACTCATAACAAAAGTTAACAGAGAAAGTACTGTAAACTATGTAAAATATAGAAACAATGAATGCAGAACATGAAGGATGTAAATTCAAAGCATTATTTTGAGTACATTCCTCAGCAGAGATAATACCTAAGAATCGATGAGTTACCAGGCAAAAAAGCAAAACCAACAAATATGTTGAGTAGCGGATATTTACGACGACGGACTGAAGACTTATTGTATTCGAAGTCCACAATCAAAAATTAGTCATTTTAACCCATGTACGACGATAACAACCTAACCAAGATCTCCGCGTAGCACAAGTGAGCATAGAAGCGGTGGATTTTAAAACATGTCAACCAGCAGCCTGAAATGCCTACCCTAAAACATTTCTGAAATAGTAATGGATGGCAGGAGCTGACGCACAGACTTGATTGGGTCGGAACCTCCACCTTGTTTGGGAGTTGCCTGCTGCTGAGCATATCATCTTAGCTTTTTCGCTTTCAAAAACTACCTTATCATGACTAATAATTTTAGCGTCATAATAATATTTATTATTATTATATAACTGCTGCAGCATCTTTTGACATCGACAAATACAGTCTGAGTTAACTGGGAAAGATATAAAGCTAAAATGCGACGTGATGCCTTCCAGTAAAGCACATTTTCGTCACGCATAGGAACAACACTTTAAAAGTGTTAGATGCATGACTTAATTTGTACGGATTTATTCAGCAAGCTTAAAATTATATTTAAAATGAAAATATTTTCGCGGTCTTTCGTGTTTTTGAAAGGATCACACGCAAGGTTTCAGCACACCACACCACAAGTCTGCGTGAGTTGAATAACCTCTCAGAATAGCAGAGTTTACGATGGCAACTGATAAACAGCGCATTCGATGACGCTGAATTTTACACGAAAATCCCTTGAAGGAAAAAATGATTCTAAAGCACGCGAAACCATTTGTGGTGTCCTTGGTGCCATCGTTGTGTCTTATCAAACGTGTAATTATTGTTAAAAACGTTTCAGAAGTGGTGATTCCGCACTTAGTGACCAACCGCGCACCGGACAGCAGCCTCAAAAGTTTGAAGATGCGCAATTACAACCTCTACTGAATGAAGACTCAACGAAAACGCAGCAAAACCTTACAGTTCAATTAGAAGTCACCCAAACACCCATTTCTAAGCGCTTGCACCAAATGGGAATACTCAATAACTCGGAATTTGGGTGCCACAAGTGTTGACCGAACACAACCTAGGTCAAGATTTGAACACAGGCATTTGACTACTTGCCCACCGGCAATAAAAACGACTTCCTGTGGAAAATTGTGACTGGTGATTAAAAGTACACTTTCTATGGGAATCCAAAACGTAAAAAGTCGTGACTAAATCTCCGACAACCCAGTACATCGACGCCGAAGAAGGTCCTCCTGTGTATCTGGTGGGACAATAAGGGTGTACTTTACTACAAACGCCTGGAAACTGGTCAGACGGTGACCGTGGAACGCTACAGCCGACAATTAAACAAACTGAGCGAAGGAACATGACCAGACAAGGTCATTTACTGAGCAAGGAAGCAGGCTAGTCATTCTGCTGCTTGATAACCCTCGACCTCAGGTTGCTTATGCGACTCAGTAGACCCTCTTGAACTTGAGATGGGAAGTTCTACCACACGCGGTACATTCACCAGATTTGGCCTCATTCGACTTCTTTTATCTCGGTCAGTGCATCCCGCCTTAGTGGATAAACAGTTCAAAACGCTGAAGACGATGTGCGTAACTTTGTCAATGAATTTATTGCTTCGAAAAATGCAAGTTTCTTTTTAGAAGGCATTCGTATGTTACCTGAGAGATGGCGCAAGGTCACTGAAAACGATGGACATAATTTACAGGATTAAGTGCGTTTGCTCTCTGTTTTTTATCTTAAATAAGTTTGCCAAAAATCCGTAAATATTAATTTGTCGACACTAATAATAGTGAAAATGAAAAGAACGCGTAGTTCATTCAGTGGCCATAAAAAAACCGCAGAGCAAGTTGCCAAAATACAACAACAAAACAGCATTTCATCTTAAGTTAAGAATTTCGTTCAAGAGAACTATTTTTGTGGTCTTGAGACCAAGAACTTGGGTCACATTCTCGCAAAGGATAGCTCTTGGAATTAAGCATAATTGAGGGATGCACAATAGTGTTTAATACCAAAAAATCTATTTTCTTAAATTGCGAAAAGGGAAGAGGGTTAAATTTCCACAAGAACCAAACACATAGTCCCTTTCTAGATCTTCATTAAGTCGAACAATATCAATAAGCACCAAATGCTACATCTAACTTGACTTATGCTATATAGGGAGTGCACATGTATAGCGAATGTGGTCCATTAAATTAAGTTATATTGTTGAAAGCAATTAATGAAGTTATATATAAATCTTGAGATTCCGTTAAATGTTTTTAACAATCTATTTGGTCGTAATTTAGGAAATAAACTTATGTAAAGATGAATCTAAAATACTTTAGCTTCACCTTTAATTCCCTTTAACCTATTTTGGCCTAAGCTCAGGCATATATGTGGGAAATTCCACATTTCAATATTAACTGATCTTCATTCGAATGGACAACGAGGACTAAATTCAAGAAATAGTGAGATGTTTGCGGATGTTGTGATAATCTATATTTTAGAATATAATAAATTCCATCAATAAAAACGTCATAAATGTCAATATTTTTGTAAACATTTTTTTAAAAATTGGTGTTTTGAATCCTACACAAGATTATGTTTGGTTTGTGCAAAAGTAATGAATTAATTCAGGTGTAAATATATATGAAACTGAAGTGTAAAAGCGGAAGGTTCTTATGACTACTTACCAGAGAAGAAAGTATAAATTTATATTTAATAGCCACTTGCACTACGCAAACTTTGTTGAAAAAATACGATCCCTCTTGTCTTTTAGCTTTGAGAACAGTGTTAGTTATATTATTTGCCCCTGAAAGAGCAGTTGCGTGTGCAATTTACCTACACTTTTTAAAACAAAGTATACATTTAGTTTCTTGAAGACATTCAAAGATTTTTCTAATTCCTTGATTTTATTGTTGTTTGAAAGGGAAATTTTGTTTAAAACACTTTAAGTTCTGGCGGTGCACCTGGCTTCGTGGGGATTTACATCGTTCTGTTCTGTTGGTGTGTCAGGGCTTTCATTATGTTCGCAGAGCCAGCACTTGCAACAAGCATGCAGGAGGACCTAGAGGCTGATTATAGCGGATTCTTTTTGAATGTAGAGCAAAGTTTAAGTTGTCTTTCGCGTTCATCATCTGTTGATCAATACGAACGCCTGCAGAAAATAGGCCAGGGGACATTTGGTGAAGTATTCAAAGTTAGGCACCGAACCACCAAACAGCATTATGCCCTTAAACGAATTCGTATGGAACAGGAAAAGGAAGGGGTATATCTTTTTCAGACACAGTAAACTGAGTACTTCAGTTTCCTATCACAGCCATCCGTGAAATACGTATACTGCAATCTTTGCAGCATGAAAACATTGTTTGTCTGAAGGAAGTCTGTCACAGCACACGTACGCTGAAATTTGTCTGAAGGTTTCGTTTAGCGAACGAGCGTTCTAATTTTCGACCCCAATTTTTCCTTGTCTTCGAATTCTGCGATCATGATCTTGCTGGCCTTAGTCAAAAAGTTGATTTTTCCAACGCAGTCAAAAAGGCGATTATGATTCAACTTTTGACTGGAATTTTCTACCTGCACAAGTGAGTGAATTGTTCTGTATTCCACCCTTTAACCCTCTTGCCCGTCTCGGTAGAAAAGCATTTTCTCAAGATAAATTTGCCCATTATTTTTGACTGAACTCAGGAAAATTAATTTTTAATATAGCTCTAGCATATATCGTCTCATTATCCTCCAAATCCTTGGTGATTATTTTTTTATTCTTTAAGAAATCAGTGATCTCAATGAGTGGTTGCAATACGAAGTATTTTCTATTCGTTTGTGTTAATCAGCTGTATACTTGGAAACTTATAATCGAAATGTCGCTCATTTCACCTAACAAGGATAGTAGTCAATAAAATGCATTTATCAAGCACTCAATTTATTTTTTTATTGTTTCAAATGAATTCAACTGCCATAGGAACAATGTTCTTCACCGTGATCTAAAGGCTGCGAACATTCTGATAAACAAGAATGGAGTTTTAAAGATTGCGGACTTCGGTTTAGCTCGAACGACCGTTGCTTGTCTTCGAGCAGACCGTCCTGCCCGGTACACCGGTCGTGTGGTCACTCTGTGGTACCGACCTCCAGAGATTCTCCTCAATGATCGGCACTATGGAAAAGCCGTGGATATGTGGGGGGCAGGCTGCATAATGGCCGAGTTATGGACCAAATATCCCATAATGCAGGTGCGTATCATGTAAATAATTTTTGCCTAAATTAACTAGGAATCGTTGTAAACACGATTGGTAATTGTGAACTTTAAGACCCCCAAATACTTGAATAACGCATTGTTTTTAATATGTGGCTAGTTGTTCTTACGGATTGTTTGGCAGGACCTCTATAGATTATGATCGTGTATGTCGTAATCACGCATGTCGTCAACTTAGGCCCCGGTGGACAGTTACGATTAAAAAAGCTGCTTTTTCCGTGATAGTTGATATTTTTGCGCCACAGGTCTCACCAATAATCTCCATTTAAGACGGTCTTGACCAATATTCATCATGGTGAATTTGCTCCAACACAATGCTACTTCGGTTTACTGGTCAAAACTACTAGTTGATCCACCAAATTTGCTACCCCCTAGTTACATTGTTCAAATCAATTCCTTCAAGAGGTTACTTTTAGTCGAACTCTCCGTTATTTCAGGACATCATTCACGTTTTCGAATGTGGTATTTGGCTGTTGACCACATAACGAATTACTACTGCATTTTAAGTTTTTAATACTATTTTTGTCAGGGTGATAATGAAATGACTCAACTTAAGCTCATCATCAACCTGTGCGGCTCAATAACACCTGAAGTATGGCCGGGCGTTGATCGTCTTGAAGCCTACTGTGAAGCACGCCTACCACAGGACATCAAGCGCCACGTTCGAGAGCGGCTAAAAGACAAAGTCTCTTCTCATTCAGCTATTGACTTAATTGATAAACTGCTCGTTCTCGACCCCGCCAAGCGCTTGACTGCCGACGAGGCACTTTCCCATGATTATTTCTACGAGGACCCTCCACCTGGCGATTTGAGAATATTTTCTCGAGAAGGGTCCACTTATCTCGAGTTCTTGTCTACTTCTTCACGTCATTCGCGTGGCGCACCCCAACCCCAGATGCATCAGCCTCAGGTGCACCACCACTATCATAGTCATCACCACCAACCTCATCAGCGCCCGGGTCCCTATCCGCACCACCCTGGTGGAGCACGTGGACCTGTTGGGCAGCCGCGGCGGCCCCTGATGCCGGAGGATAGTATGCATCACGATAGGGTGTATTGAATGTGTTTACATGTGTGTGTGTTCATCACATTTGTACAAATATTATCATTTTACCTTGTACACTAACGCTGTTGATTTGCTTTGTTTTCCCACGAGGTCCTAGAGCACTTTGCGTCCAGATATAACGCGAAACACTGAAAAAAGATAATACGTAGATAACGCAGTTAGAAAGGTTTGGTAACTGTAGTAGCGAGAGTGGACAAGATACTAGACCCTCTGTTTATGTAGGATCGAATAATGTCGGTCACTGAAGGCACATAACTACGCCAAGTGGATGTACGTAAATCGGTTCAGTCATGTTCGCTCACGCTTGCTGGCTGTGCTCGCTCGTTGTTCCCCACGGCATATTTAGAGGAGAAGGGAATATGTAAGTGACTGGGACTGTTAACCGGGTCAAAGCAACCTCAGGACTAACTTGGACATCGGTGGAATGACTAACTTGGATGCGACTTGGCAATATTTGCGCGGAATGGCAGCGATGACGAACAAGAGGATTTGGCTTCAACGCATTTGAGTCATTGAAAGCACCTCTATGGGTGAACTAAACGTTAGATAGTTCTGGTTTGTATCATAGTTATGGAAGGACTTGCGAGCAAATGAAGGAAGGTATTAGCCGCAATGATGCACTTCTGATTAGGTCTGTGTTGGGGATCCACGATTCCCCAAGATTAGTTTCTAATTTTATTTACATTATTTTATTAACATTTGTTTAGTAACGATTTTTATCAAGTCAAGGTTACCCCTGACTTGAGTTAGTTTCGTTTTCACTTTCGATTTCATTGCTTCTCTGCGCGTGGCTGACGTGATTAAAGCTCTTTACTGGGGCTCTGGTCTTGTTCTGGTATTAGCCTGGGAAGGTCGGTTCTAGCTTCGGCAAGTTATCTGGTACCGTTGAGTGGTCTTCTCTATTGTTACGGGCAAACGTAACAGTCTGCAATTTCGATACAATAGTAATTTGACACTCGTGGATGCGAGTAATTGAAAGGAATTTTAACGCTTTCATGCACATCATCAGTTAGATTTAAAAAGATGATCATTAGCTCAACTTTAGAAATTTTCCATCAAGTTTTTAAATCATTATCAAATCGCAATCAACGCTTCAGGAAGTGGTTATTGCAAAACTGAGCACCAAAAAGGCCGTATAACGCCTTAATTCTATTGCCAAAATATATGTTAGAACCTAAGCTATTGGATAGGTAAATACAAATTGTATGTTTTATATGCCAGCTTAAGTCATGTGAGAAAATTAAGTATTTAACAAGATATAGAAAAAACAAAAATATTTCGTTTTACGCTACCTCAAGTGCTAATGTATTAGTATCAAAATAAATTTGTGCAATCAAGTATAATAATTTACCATTTTATCGCTTCTTTTAACCATTAATTATATATCCGCGTCTATTGTATTTTATGCATAAACGAATCAGCACCCTGTATTGTGCTTCGATCGTGGTCACTGCGGTTTATTTATTAATTCTGTCGATTTGCACGTCCATTAATAACAGTGGTCCAGTTATTTCCGTTGAATTGCAGTTCAGGTAAAATTATACGTTGTTTTCCACAGCAACGTTTTTTTACTGTTTTATAAAACTTACCTTAGTGTAACCTCAAAGTATTGTAAAAGGTCTTTAAAAGATTTTAAGCCAATCTGCTTTGTGTGTAATAATAATTACCCAGAAGATGTGAAGTTGTATGAATTGATATAGCCTTTTTAGCACTTATATGGGGTTCAATGATCTATTCACTTGTTAACGCTGTATAAGAATATGGATTAAATATATTCTCTTAAGTTTGTCATAATGGTATGTTAAACCTTTTTATGGTATCTCTATTTGAATTTGCGTCTATTTCCTTGGTCTTCGTTTAGAAATGATTACAGCAAGTGTTGAGCTGACGCGAATTGTATCGTCGCTCACTATCCCTGTTCGCTGTGGGCGATTTTTGGCACCTGGGTCGTACCATGTTCCATTTTCTGAACGTTTCGATGAAGAAGGCAATCGTCGTCCCCCACCCCATCCTGAAACGCCGAAATTCCGTGGTATTTAATTTGTAGGACGTATTCAATCATACTGACTTTCACAAATGCAGTATTGCATGTTTCCAAGTTAGCGTATAGAATTTTTGTCGTCATCATCGATGTTTTCAGCAGATGGGATATTGCTGCTGAATACATTTTAACATTAAAAATTTCCCCTAATGTTTAACCAATCTTGCTGAATTCAATATGGTTTTAAGTAATTTTACAAAAGATAACTCGAAGCCACTGTGAAGATAATGATTTGGCTAGATTTTCTTCTTATTATAATAATGGCTCTCATAGCATGTAGAAACAAGGACGTGTGTTGGTATTGATTAGCAACTACGAATTAAGTCTATGCTTATTATGTAGATGAACTCCCACCTCCAACAGGACCAAAAATAGCCGACAAGCGTCCTTTTAGAATGATTTGTGCACCAAAGAAGATCTATTGGTGGTGTTCGTGTGGTCAAAGTAAAGAGCAGCCATTTTGTGACGGACACCATGGAAGACTGGTGCACAAGTGGCCCGTCCGTAATCAAAAGAATATGTTCAAGCCAATTAAAGTGGTTTTCGAGAAGTGAGTTTGGTGTTGCTCTTTATCGTATGAATCGTAAAGGCCAGTCAAAATCATTAATGTCATTAGATTACAAAAGCCCCTCTCACTGCTATTAAATTATTCTAACCTATGATGCAGGAGGCAGGACTAATTTTATGATTGTTTGGGGTGGTCATTTTAGTTTTTTTTTGCCCATGGAGGTCAATTATCACTTTGCGTTGCTCGTATTTCAGTTAATTAAGAATGCAACCTATCATGTTTTTGAGCCAAATGAAGAAATTGATCAGGCCACCACAAAGTTGCTTTGTTTAATTTTTGAACACAAAACTCCGTTTCCCCCCTTTGCGTTTGACAATGTAGAATCGCTAAGCCAATTCCTCCCACTTCACAGGTCCCGTCGCCTAAAAGCTACATCCTCATCTGCCGGATTGTGTTCTCAGGCCATTTTTTTGACGTAGTGTATTCGTCCAGACTATATAGGCTGCATAGTCTCCCGTTCGATTTGTTCGGACTGGGCCAGGTGATGTAAGCCTAGTTTGATTTATTGGCTAATTTGAAGTACCCCTTACTCGCTCACCGTTATACTTCCCTGAGGCTTATAGCCAGAAATAACTGCACATAGCGAGGCGTGTTGCTTTCTAAAGGGATCACTGCCACTCGTTATCGTTTGCATGTACTTTCGAGCTCCTGTCTAACCTGGAAACCTGTCACCTGCGTGTCGCTTTCGGTCGCTTGTTTTTTTTGTTTGTGTTCGTTGTTTTGCTGCAAATGAAACAACGTTTTGCGCTTTTTATTAATATATTGACTGGCCTATTCTGCCCCGTGTATACCTTCTAAGTCATCGTTAATAGTCTGGCTCAAAATTATATTGTGAAATTTGGTTTTTTTACCGAGGCAAATGCCAATGTTCATTCTGAGGCGATCTTCTCATCACCTGAAATCTCTGTAGTCTGCGGGATCTGCCCCATGACTGCTTGTTTGATCTTTTACCTTCTAGGAGTGTCGCCTATTTCATTCAGTAGCCTTTTCACCATCAGATTTGTTTTACTTGTTCGCTTTTGCAAAAGCCATCATAGTCTGGATTCATGTGTTGCAAATCAGTCTAAAATCTTCGGACAATTATTTATGACGTTATTTTCTATGTTCATTTTCAGAAAAACCGAGGTTTGGTTCTGCACTTGTAAACAGACTGGCTCCGCACCCTTTTGTGATGGAAGCCACAACTGCGAACACGTTCAGACATCCATCAAGTACTGATTGGAGCTTTGGACCCCCTTCTCTCCCTATTTATGCCGATTTCGTACTGCTTACCTTGTGTATCTGGATCTTTTCCAGAGTTTTTTTTATTAACAACACTTGTTCTAAAAATCGTTTGTTCTGACTGGTTTGATTTATTTTTTTTTTCACTCCGGAAGGACGCATAAGTCGGATTTACTAGGAGGCATTTAATTAAAACGAAAGTATTCGGTACCTTATGCATTCGACTATTCCGAAGCCATGACACCTCATTGCTTTTTTCATATTTGATTTGCTACCAATCGCTCGATAAGTGGTATGTGCTTCTGGTGCTTTTTTAGGACTAAGTCTATAAGTTGCGAAGCTTTTACTTGAATATCCAGTTTAAAATGTTTGCGGAATTTAGAGTTGAACTTCACGAACACGTCTGAGAAAGTGCAACGATGATTGTTTGTGAAAATGATGATGAATTAAATTAACTAGAATTTTCTGGCCATTTTAGTTCTGTTCATTAACGAAGTATTCAGGAAGCAATAAACGGGCTTGTGAGGCCGTTCTTAACAAATGGATTGGCTACGGGCACCGGACGTTGTTCTCGTTTGGAAAAAAGAAGTCCGAGAAGGAAGCGAGCACAACGTCGAAACCACAGGATAAAAGCACGCATGCCGAACTAATGTAAGTTATTTTTTCCTTTACACCTGATCGCCGACTAATTTACTGCCAACTTTAGGATCTCAACTCACATTGCTACCGTCTCAGCTCTACACCAGGATATGCTGGAGGGGAATAAATCTCGGGGGTTTTAGGTGAATTAACGAAATCGAACATTCTTTAGATTAATAACCAAGGTAGACGAGTAACCAAAGCCGTAAATTTGTTCTGCAGTTTCCCCCCAAAAATTTAGGCCATTCGTCTCTCTGTACTTTTGCCACACAAACTGCAAATTTGTGCATGGAGTGGTGGTACTGATTCGTTTCCAAAGCGCCATTTCTTCGAACCAGTTTTAGATAATATTGGTAAAATGAGGTGCATTAAAGTTTAGATGGCTTGTTTTATTAGAGTGTGCAAGTCGGATCATCTGTGGGGGCGGAGCAAAATCAGTGGCGTGTGTTAAGTTCCCCAAACCGAAATTCTAGCAAGGCAAATGAGCGCACCAATTCATATTTTGTAGTAGCAATGGTGTGCCACAAGCGTGGCCGTGTGTAGGTGTTTGTGGTGTTCGAATGTCAATATTTAACAGTGCTGACTTGAATAACAAAAGAGCGGGCCATAAACCACAAGAATACAAGACCGTGCATTTGTTGTTCGAGATACCTCTGGATGTTGGATTAGTTTTCGTGAAGATTTGGTCTTCTTGAAAGTGCATTAAAACGGAAGTATGCTCGGTTGCTGAAAGCAAAGGCGACGCAAACCTGATCTGAGTGAAAATTAAGAATGCGTTTTTGTGTCATTTGAAATTAGTTGGCCAAGAAGTCACTTTAACGGTGTTAGTATCACTGACAGACTTTCTGGAATCGAAGTACGACTAAGACAATCCAGAACTTTAAAACGTTTGTGCAGGTTGTCATAAATAGTAAATATTACGATAATAATTAGAATATACTGCAAGGGTTAGACAATAAATGTATACAAGAAATAGAGAATAGCGTTCCAACAAAAACAGTTTAGTAAAACTATGGGTTGACCGTAAATGACATGAAAATGTCACATGTGGGTTCCAGACGCTTTTAGAGGCTGATTTTTTAGTGTTCGAAGGCCACACTTCCAAAGTGGCTTCGTCAGTGCGTGTCCGTCTTTCATGTGTTTCAGCTGGTCGGAGGCCTCACGGAGATTAGTGGACGACAAGTTGTCAAAGGTTCCGCAGCATGACCTGATGCTGAAGCGGTCCCAAATCAAGCGCCTGAAGAAAGCTGCGTTCATGGTGTGTTTTTCCACCGCTTTTTTGCCCACACTCGAATTCTTTACGAAACCTGCCTTTGTGCATTCTTAATTACCATTTATGGGCTCTAATGGAACTTCGATTTTTCTGCAGACTTCACGTGTCAATGTGTGTGCCCTTGGATTTGCGTTTTTATGCCTCCGATTCGCCCCGATCCCTTACTACCGATTCTGAATCGTGTAGTTCAAATTTACTAAACCCTGTTACCCTTCGTGCTGCCCTTAGGACACTATCGAACTTTACAAAGACCGTTCCGGGACAGCTCGTCGTGGTTTCAATGAATTTATCCTGGCGGCTCTCAAACAAATGAAGGAGTACGAAGTGGCCGATGACTTGGAGGCCTACAAGGCCCTGCTGACCGTGCCGCCTCGAATGGGTCGTCTCAAAGCCAAGTCTTTTTTACACGCCGACATGGGTGCCTACAAACGACAACAGGACACAATCTCCAAGTTGCTCATGCAACTCAATGCCAGTCGTAAGTTAATATGCGCTCTACCAAAATCACTCAATGACCTTCTGTTCTTCTTCTCTCTTGAATACTGGGCTTGGCCATTAAATTCAGCTGTCGTAGTAGTGCTTTAGACGATCGAAATGCTTTTCGGTTTGATTCGTCGCACTGCTAAAAATTAGCGCATTTATTCACTTTATATGCTAAGGCTCAATTTTTTTTTGCACCCAGCTATGATTTGTGTGGCTTTGTAATGCTCTAAGCAAGATTGCGAGATTCCTGTCCTTGATATAACTGTTGACTATCTTGTGGAGCTTCCACCCCCGGAATTGTAGGTAAAACTTCAATCGTTTTCAGTTAAGCAAAGTTTTAAGGCACTTCTGTTATTTCCCCAACTACCTGCCTCGTAGCCTATTCAGGTCTTCTCTTTTGTTCAATTAACAGGTCTGACACTTTCCTGTTTTAGAGGTGATGCCAGACGACGATGTGGGTGACGCTATTGTCGAGATTTTCGGCTTCAGAAGTCATGTGATGACGCACTATCGACGCATGATGTACTGGGTGCCGAAATTGCGACATGTGAATCCGTGGCCAGTAACTGAAAGCCTCCCTGATGACCTCGAGGGTGAGGACGCTTCAAGGTTGGCTCAACTTGTCGCCGCACGGATCTGCCCAGACGTGAACACGGAGTTCACAACGGTTACTGTACGTCGTGGCAATATCTTATTCTTTACACGCCGACAACTCCACTTCCAGTCTGCAATTTCGCCCTACTCGAAGCCGTTTTTGGTGCTCTTATACTCCTTCGCGTCCTTATCTTAATGACTGTCTTGTGGTTTTTATGTAATTCTAGGCGGATTCGAAGGATGCGAAAATTCCCAGTTGTCTCGTGAGTGCTCAGAGTTCGACTCAGCGAGCCCTACTTTCTGCATATGCGACGGACTTTAAACAGAAGGGCACTCAGGACGGTATTCTCTACCTGGATGGTCCGCAATTCGTATGGTTTCGGACACTTCAAGTAAATCGTTAGCATTATTTATTAATTTTGCACAAACTGTAACTGCCTGGTCTTCTTCTCAGCTTGCCTATTACGTCTTGTGGGGGAACGTGGACAAGCAGCGTCTTCAAACCCAGCTTGAATACTCACAGGCAACCGCTCGAAAGTTGACGTCCATAACTGACTTCGCGTCTTGGGAATACCGGATCTACGGTTCAGAAAAGGACAGCTTTGCTCCTCTCCAGGTGGTTCAAGCACCTGAAGCCGCGCCAATAGGGACTTCATTGCCGATACAACGCGATGTTGCGGATAGTAGTAGTGCACTTTTTCCTCTTCGGCCAAAAAAGAGCTCCTTGCTGAGGAAAGGAGACACCACTGTGGCGGAACGCCGGAGAGCGCTTTGGGCGGGTTTCGAGCCCACACACCAGATTACGCACCTGCCAGAGCACCTGACGCGGCACGAACAGGCGGAAGGTGTTATTCTTGCCGTGGGTGTCGTCGCACCGGTGCCGAATGCACTCGAAAACCAAGCGCGCGCCTACGGTGGAGAGACAAGTGGGGAACTCCCCGACCCCACCGTTTCCCTGCCCGTGCCAGCTCCGGACGCCCTTGTCCGACAGTGGTTGATTGCGTTGCGAGAATTGAATCCGGGGCTCGATGGTGCGACTGTTGTGATTCGAAAGCGGAACAGTGAAATTCCAGTGGATGATGAGGCCTCATTTCATGAGCAACCTTCAACTTCAGAGTCCACACATTAGCGTTGTTTAATTAGTTGTAGCAAAGTGTTGTAAAAATATGTAAAGTTAGTGTGACTCGTTATTTGGTGTATGACTGAAAAAATGCTTAGATCTGAAATGTCTACTTCAAGAGCTTAGGTTACCATATGTTAATGTTTGAATAGCTATTCTAAGCCTAGCATGATGAATTTCCGTGCTACCCAAATCAGCTGAAAGCTGAATATTTTCTTTTCGCTTTGTCTCACAAGGAGATGCCTATTTTGTTTTACCAGACTCACTACTGTAATGTGCGTTTGGACTTCTCATGTATTTAATTCCGTTTTCAAATCACATGCGATTGAAATTCAACCGACCACTAGAGTAGCACGTAATTTTAAATGAAGGTCGTGGTTTTAAATGCCTACTTATGTTTGTCAGATTACCATGACCTCCACGCAAACTGAAAACCACTACGCCCCTTACTTACACAAGTAGGGCTGCCTTTCTCTCATGCAGCTTCCTTTGGGGACTCCGAATACAATTAACAGATGGATTTGCCAAGGTTAAAATTTGGTTCAGCCTGGATGCTACGTAACAGCGAAATATTAGATCATAGGGAAATACTAAAGAAAAGGTATGGGCAGGGCTATAATGACCAGATAATTTGTTAAAGGGTCGATGATGCCACAGACTTACTCAAGCTAAGTCAGCAAATCCAAGCCTATGCAGTTGCAAAAAAATTGGTTGAACTAAACGTGACAATTTTGGGTAGACTGACGATTCGGATTTTGAGTGGGTCAAGGTAGCTAAAAGCACTAATACCGAGGGGAATTACCTCGCTTCGGCTTATTGTAAGAATAGGTTATGGTTATCTATTTCAGTCTTGGCGAACACTGCTAACTCTAGATGCTAGATGTGCCCTGTTCATCAACCACACTTTAAGGTTAAAAAACCGACGAAATTTGCAAACATTGAACACTGGCAGCTTTTTCGTTCCGCAGAGGAAGTGCACAGGCGTCTTTTCAGCTTGTCGTCTTAAATAAGAAACTGCGGTTTAATAGACAGGCATTGTATTAAGGCATGAGTACGCATAAATTGCACCCGCTTTCTCACTATATTTTAAAGCTTAGCAGGCACAATGCTTTGATTGATTCCTTTGCAGTTTGCACGAAGTTTTCAAAAGGATTTCTACATCGGTTCTATCAATTTAGGTCACCACCATCTTGAGAATAATTTTTAGTCATAAACGGTCATTTGAATGGACTCTCCTGTTGATGACTTATGATTGTTTAAATACGCAAATAAGTGCCACAGCGGAACCTCAAACCAGAAAAGAACTTGCCTGCTAAGACAAGAAGTCTGTTCATCCTCGTTCTATTTTGCATTATGTGAATGTATAGTTCCGGTACGATGCTCGAGCCACATCGCAGTCAGTTACACTTGCCAGTTTAGTAAAAACGTTCAAAAAATCTGCTAGTAATCTATGTTAGGAGGTTGGCAAAGCAACTTCTTGCAGAATTCGGGGTCCAAAAGGTTCTCTGCAGCCCATCTTCATTTGTATAACAAAAATGAGGACCGTGAGTTAATGTAGGACTGCACTTATGCTTCCTCCGTCTACTGATACTATCTTAATTTTGTTTAATTTAGAGTCACTTTAGCAAGTATGAAGTGGTAAGAGCTATCAATCATAGGTAGAAATTAGTTTTTACGAACTTTTGTCAGCATTTAATGATTTATAACTTAATCACGTTTTCAAAATCCAGAGGCTAAAAATAGTTACGGCATTATTCCTCAGTAAATCTAAATTAATAAAATGATCCTAGGTTTTATGACATCTACGAAAAGTTAGTTCCTAAAATTAAGTACTGACTGTTTTCGAAGATTGATGCAATTCGAAAAGTTCTTTAGTTTTCGTAAAGTGGTAAAGTCAACCCAGTCGAACGATGCGGATATAATCGAAACATTTGACTTCTCCATTTACATTTTTTAAAATATAAGGTTTATTTTAACCATAACCTGACCTTTCTCAAATGGAATCGACAATAATTTAAAAGTCTGGGCGATTTCTGCATGGGTAAATTATGATGAGCACATCTTGGACGCGTAGAGAAATGGATGTTTGGTAAGTGATGACACTAAAAGACATCTCCTTAAGTATTTGTTGTAATTAAATTAGATATATTTAAAGGGTTAATGACTATTTGTAATATCTGCAGCAAAGTCAGGACTGTAATTTCATAACAAATATTTTAATCGTATTCAATAACTTCTCAATAGGTTTTGAATTTTCCTTAGGCAATATTATGTGAATGCAAAAGAAACCTCTAATTTGATTAATTCGTTCCGACTTTTTTGATTCGCCCAAGTTTGAACTCCCATTAGACGGCTTACAAAACAATTTTAATGCAGTCAAAATGCTACAGAAAAAGTTTATGTTTTTCACAATGCAAAAAGATTTAAAAAAATTGTGTGATTTTAATAAATATGAAATGTGTGCTTAGGTTCTCAGAATAATGGTATATGTTTTTAAATTATTTCTTGTAACTTTTCAAGGTCTTATGAGCTTTGGATTATTTTCAAATTGAGGTGTTTGACAGGGTTTAATAATGGAGAAGGAATCGCAAGTCATTGTTAATTTATTTGCAATTTTAGTGTCAAGGTGGCGGTTCGTGTTCGTCCCTTTAATGATAGGGAGAAGCGACTCAATGCACGATTAGTAATTTCTATGAACGATAATGTAACGGAGATAATTAACCCTGAGGGTAAGCAATGTCATTTGTTAGTTTTGCGAAGCTGAAATATATCCATGAAGAACATCTCTTAAATGTCTTTCTTTGTTTGTAATGCGCACAAAAATTTTTCCATAGTGCCTAACTACTCTAAGTTATCTCTTAGTATTCGGGTAGAAATCATCAAATCAAATGTTTGCCCGACTCCGCAATATGCATTTTTTTTCTAATTAATTATGCAATTTTCATAACATGAATATGCAATTACATCAAATAAATTTGAAATTTTTTAATGTCACATTCTTGTTTTGCCCCTGAAATCTGCAATATTTGAAATAGTTTTTAATAGATCTGTAGGTATACCATTGGTGCTGCAGAATCCGTTACCTGGACTGAAAATGAACTTATTTTGCTAAATGAGTATAAACGTTTAAACATTATCTGCTTATTGTGTATTCGTGACAATATTACCCTCGGCGACAACAGACAATGGCTTATGGGCACCATTAAATGAGTGTACGGCTGTATTAGTGATTCTTTGCTGTCCACATACAGGAAACCCTTATTAAGAAACTTGTCATCAAATAGCAGGTGAATTGAACTATCATGAGGCGCTGGGAATAGTTCCTCTAAATGAACCTGAAACAGTCGGCAGAAAAAATATATTGCTACATGGATATTAACAAATAGAAAGCGTGAACACACATTCCTATTTTGATTGCATCAATTTGTACGAATGCCTTATAACGTTAAAATAAGTCTTTTCTGTGAATGCTCAACAATCATTTTGGGATATTTTAGATGCTACGGATAAAAAGGCCTTTTCATTTGACTACTCTTATTGGTCTCATGATGGCTTTATTGTGAACAAGAAAGGTTTTTGCATACCTGATGGACCTTCGTCTCGTTATGCAAGCCAGGAGACTATTTTCAATGACCTTGGCTCTGGTATCCTCAATAACGCTTTTAGTGGCTATAATTGTTCTTTATTTGCGTATGGACAAACGGGATCTGGAAAGTCATATTCCGTTGTTGGCTATGGTGAAAACAAGTAAGTGAATTATTACGATTCGTTTATTTTAGGTTTTCTTCGGTTTGAAATGTGTGCATTGAAGCGCGTGTCATAAATTGATCAAGCATTTTACTAAGGCGTCTTGTTGAATTATGGCTTCATATGTATCAAAAACGTTTATATCGAGCAAGAGCAAGTCACATTTTTCAAAGTATTGCTTTCACTACTATTCAGATTGCCACATAACATAATAACTGTCATTTTTTGCTCGACCTGGACTTCTTCCGAATAAAGGAGTTACCTTTCGAAATAATTAATTGCTCACGTTTGTAGTTTTAGTTGAAGTGAGAATTCGGTAGCTAAATTATTGGAAACATGAGGCAAGCGTTTTAATCAATATTGCATCACAGTTTCAAAAACGCCTTAATTGGACCCCAAAGTTTGTGGCGGGAAATATAGCCTGTTTAACATAAATAAAGTCGATTGACGGCTTTTTGAATGCTTTGTGGTTTTAAATTTGCGTGCTCTTCCTAGTGTCGTCATTCAACTAGACTTGCATTTTTGCATTCATTATCTGCTGATTTATTTTAGTAGGAAAATGTTTGAAATCATGATGACCCTCTCTCTTTCATAATCTTTGTAATACGTATTCACTCGCTTTCATAGGTATCTCGTGTTTTTGTCTGTGCGAACCTAATAAACTCAACCTACATCAGGCAACCGCGGCTCCTGTCCAGCCCCTTGGTCCAAGTCCGAGTATCAATTACGTGATACTCACTTCTAAGGCAATTAGTCCCAAAAATAGCAACTTGAAACTAATATTCTATGCTACATTTTTGTTTGTTAAAGCTTTGGACTTTAACTATTGCTATCATTTGTTATTTAGTCAAACGAATGCTTGCTACCTGATTATTTTCATATTCAATAGCTATGATTTTACTATACACCAATCTACATGGCATATGTAAATATTTTTAGAGGCATTGTACCAATCGCCTGTGAACGGTTATTTGAAAAGATTGCACAGAACAAGGAAAATAATAAGGTAGGAAGTTGCGTGTTCTGAGATCCTATTAATGAACCAAATAGGATTTTCAAGTGACCATCTCAGTTTTGGAGATTTACAATGAGAAGGTCCGTGACCTCCTCAGTTCTAATCCCAAGGGGCTCGCCGGCTTACCAGTTCGTCAGTCCGCTGGCGAAGGATTTTTTGTACAAGGTCTAAAAAGGGTTCCAGTAGGTTCATATAAAGAAATCCAGAACCGCATGGAACAAGGTAAATCTTCAGGCACTGTTGGTTTCTATTATAAACTAAAACGAAGTCTGTTAACTTGTTTTTTTAAATGGGATAAATTTGATAGTAGTAATCAAACAGTTAGGATAAACCAGAGTCCAAAGAAAATAAAGCTAGATTATTTTCGAGACAGACAGCTGCATCTTAAGTAATGTGGCAGTAAAAATACTATGCAATTTAGTTTCGGCTTAAATTATTCAGGTATATTCAAGTAGCAGCCATATTGTTGACTCTAAATTCCATTTAATTTTGTTTACAACTCCTTTAATGATGATTAAGGCACAGCCAATCGAACCATGGCAGCAACAAATATGAACGCCTCCAGTTCACGGGCCCACACACTCGTGTGCATTTCCTTCGACCAACTTATTACGCGAGACGGCTGCACCACGCGCCTGAGTTCCAACATCAACTTTGTTGACTTGGCAGGTAACTCAATGCGTTATGTCGGCCACCGAAATCCTTCGTAACAACAGGTCGTTGCTCTTTGACCTCAAACATGTTGCCATCTGTCAGTTTTGCCTTTTACTGTTAAGGTTGACCGTAAACTGGAAGCCGCACTCACAGATGAGCACATAACGCTTTTCAAATTGGTTGAGAACGAATTCGACCAATTGTCAATAGGGAGAGTTCAGAATTATGTAAAGCAGATAGTGCTGTTTATTTTTGCGAATCAAAACATCAGACTCAAAAAAGTTGCCGAAGACAAGACAGGTTGACCAAATTATCAGACGGGAAGGGATTATTAAAGAAACGCCTGATAGATCCCCTTCAATTACTTAAATTACTTGGGCGTGACCGCCCTCCAAACCAAAAGCCTTTCTTTAAATGACAGTACTGATTAGCACAGATGGACTGTACCGCACTTCAGGTCTCCTATTTCCCCTAAGGCCTTGCAGTCCCGTCATTTGCTTTTACACGATCGGTGGTTTGTAGGTTCCGAGCGAGCCGATAGCACCGGGTCCACTGGTGACCGTCTCAAGGAAGGCGCCAACATAAATCGTTCACTTTCGGCGCTAGGAAATGTCATTTCGGTACGTCACTTCAGGCCGGTGCCATAGGGGCCTCATTTTTTGTTGCACTATGGAAGCTAAACTAGGTATACTTTGCATTTACACGCGACTTTCATTTATCGCTACCTTTAAATTTACCAAATGCCAAACGACAGTGTGATAAATTTATAAAGTGAATGGGATTAATAAATACCTCCATGAGCCAAATAATAAAGAACTGTTTTACTTTACAGCCTTCGTTATAAATGTTTATGTACTTCAACTTGACTACTGTCATGAAAGAAATATTTTTGTATGCCAAATCGTATCAGTAATTTTCAACATAGAAGTTAAATCCGGTAACGCTTATGATATCCATCAGACTCTAAGGAATGCGATTTACTTGTACCGAAGGCATAGTGATTTAGTAGTTTAAGACTTCTGTTATGTGAATGAGAAATGGAAATTAGTAGTTGCCGAAGAGTCGAGGTTTGTTCCTGTTCATAGCTATAATTCCCAGATTTTGGGATTGTAACGTAAACAAGGTGTAGGTACTCACGATTCCTATGATTGTAGAAATTACAATAAATCTTGTAATATCCTTATAACGTCCTCATTACAGGGCAATTGGCAAATGATCAAGTTGCTTATGTAAAATGAATAAGTTTATTACTGATGTTACAGTTCGGCTACATTGTACTTCCAATGCTTTCAAATATCTGATATCACTGCCCTTTTTTTCAAAATAAGGCTCTGGTGGAGAACAAAAAAGTGGTGCCGTATCGCGACTCCGTTCTTACCAAATTGCTACAAAATGCCCTCGGCGGCAACAGGTATTTGGGTGTTGTTAAGCAACTGACATTCAGTGAATTGTGTTGTGCTCAAGCTTTAAAACATTGGCAACCCAGAATAAGCATGTGTTCTGAGGGAACCCCGATCGCTGCAGACGCTTTCAGTTGTAGTGAAGACAAATTGGGAAGCCTTCTGTTGATTTGTGGATAGAGAATTGGCTTTCCTGACCACTGATTGTTCTGATGCAATTTAATCTAATGTTCTCTAGTAAAAAGAACTTTAAGTCAAATTGGTATTTCAGTGATGCTTCAACGGCCGATGATGTAGGGCATTTCGTTCGCGTGAGTGGACTGCAGACCCGAGAAACCATTGTGTGAAGCCATAAGTGGTTAAAAAATGATTAACTTGTATAAAAGTCCGTCTCCTGTGATTCTCACGAAGCTGGTCGCGGATAAATGCTTCCTGTATTATTTCACATTTAGAATGCTCTGCTATTAAATACAATAAATTTGACTACCAACATTCCCACCAATTTTCAGGCTAACAATGAATATCTGTGATTTTCGTTTGTTTCCTTACTGAATTGATTTAACGAGATATTGCTGGTTGAAATTAAAGGGATCTATATGTGAACAATGCCTTATCCCGTTCATGCCAGTGTACAATACCTTCATCATATCTGAAAACCTCATGTTCGCTGTAGAAATTCAGTTGGCCTTTTGGGATGCCTACACATCGCACCTGTTAAACCTGCTTTCTGGGCCTGTTTGTGACTCTAAAGTAGAAGAATGTTAAAGCAAATATACTTTCCAAATAGGCGATGATATGACCAAAATATTAGCGCAAACACTTGCTCGTTACATATTTTGTTCCAATGAGTCAAATCTACCATTTTATCCTTGACCAGAAGTCTCAAGACTTCTAAATAGTATTCACAATGACCATTTCCAAGTTGGCTTGACATGTTGGGTCTGAGGTAGGAATTTATTTAGCAGGTTTTAACTCCGTCGTGCTCCTTATGTTCACTATGGCTGTCAGTTTTGTATTTGGGGAAAACGACTAGTGAACACAATTGCAGTGACTGTCCGCGTTGTGTCAATTGACTATATGGAGAACGTAAGTCAATCAGTTCAACGAAAACGTACACCTGAAGTTGTTCCACAAATAAGTGGTACAGTTGTTACTTGATGGTTAAATTTGCATGGTGATGATCTATCTCATTTTCCTGCCTCTGTTGTATCATGCACCCACCCACTTCATTCATGCATGAAAGGTTTGTTACACATGAACACACTCTGTGCAGGACATGTGTTGAACTACCATGGTAACGAAGTTATAGTCATTTTCCGCTTTCTCCTACAATTATGTGCACAAGCTGAGAATATTTTGCTTGTTTTGTTCCTTGGAGCCCGTTGTGGCCCCTTTGCGAAGTGGAGATGGAATCACACGCTGCGCAAGCATGCTCGTTCGCTTTGTATGCTTCTAAGAATTCTTCCAAGAAGCTCTTCATCCTGTTTTTAGCAAAACATAACGGATTTGTGTCTGACTAACTTCAAGCAGTAAAATCCTTGTGCAACTAATCTCACCTTAAAATACAGAATATGATATGACTGCCAGATCCCAATCTTTAGGAACCTAAGGCGTAAGTTAAACCATTCTCTCCTCGTCACAATTCATAGAAAGTTTGAAGATGGGGTTTTTGTGCGCAGGTTAGTCCGATGTCCGATTTACGGCAAATAATCACTGCAAACGCAAACAAAATGTCAGTATTTTTTCTAACAGTAACCCACCGCAAATACAGTAAAACAACACCGCACTTTGACACAAGATCCTTGAAATATAATTTCTCCTTTGTTTAGTTTTCTTTGTTCATAAATTGAGACCACATTAGCGTAGGGAAAAAGCGCTTCAATTAAGACAACTGAAAACCAAGTTGAAATTGACTAGAATTAGTGTCAAGTTTTTGTGTTAGCATTCCTTAATAAGGACAATAGCAGAGCTGGAAGCAATCACGGGATCTCACTTACTATATATATCAAATGTAATAATTTAGCCTTACTTTACTGTTTGTTCTTCTGCAGCCAAATTGAGCTCGTTGTTCATGCCAAGATGTGCGTGTTTATTGAAGGTGCTATAAACAAATGCAGCGTTCCCTGATTCCCTATATAGTCCGACACTTCGAAGCCTTACTTATCCCCCATTTGTTACAGCAAAACTGTGATGATTGCTGCCCTCTCACCTGCCGACATCAACTACATGGAAACTCTTTCAACACTGCGATACGCTGACAGAGTGAAGCAAATCAAAACAAAAGCCGTTGTCAATGACCGATCCCAAGATAGCATGATTAAAGAACTACTCGTAAGTCTATTACATCCCGGTTGGTGAAAGAAGTAGGTGTAAAATAGTCTAGACCATGGAAATGAACACCATTTACGGAAGATTTGAATGGCCAGATTTTAGTTCTGTTTGGGTCGTGACCGTTCGATTCACTGTCAAGAGATCCTCTCAGTAATGAGATGGGCAACTTGGGTGATTACTGAGAATAGCTGCGTAGATACGGCTTTGTCACTTTAATTTTAGAATAACATACAACTTGCACGGTCCATTGAGATTTATTAAAAGTGAACTCTTTAGGCGTGGTACAGAGGAGTTTTTTGGGTCTATCCCTCGTATTGAATGGCTCGAAAGTATTTTGTTCTAGTTGAATTCCCTTACATGGTAATAACAGGAGTCCTAATGGAAATCAAGTTATCTTTAATTATCTACCTTTGTACCGAAGGGCTACCGAAATTCTGAAATTTTTAAACTCAGGAGTCGATGCCATGACATTTTCGTCTTTTCATTAAGGCTGAGAATGCGAGACTCAAGCAACAATTATTGGAAATAACAAACCAATCAGGAGTTGCCTCCGCACCTGGTCTCCCTCAAGAAGGTACCACGTTTCTCGGATCGATTTATAAAATTTGACCACTTATGTAGAAAGAACAAAGACTGAGGAAGGTATACGAACTGAAATTATGGCACAACTTGAAAACAATACAGAGCTTCTCGAGATTCAGGATCAGAAGGCTTTCTTAAAAAAGGTAAGCACTTTGTGTGGCTACTTTGTAATTTAGCTTGCAATAAATGAATGAATCCCGAAGAATGCAAAGAGGCACCTCAACCAGGTTTTTGTTCCATGAAAGCATGACCGATGCAACCACTTTTCTATTTAAGTCCACCTGGGTATTTTCTGATTTGTTAAGCTCGAAGAGGCCCGCAAAGAAGCCTCGAACATGAAACTCCCAAGTACCATATCGCGGAGTCCGAAGTCTTCGCCTAACTGTCCATATTTGTCGAATCTTAACGAGGACCCACAGCTGTCTGGCGTCATTATCTACTCCCTGGATGCTGACAAGGTTTGCTTGGGACTTTGCTTATCAGATTGTTCTGTGCTGATTCGAGGTGTTTGAATTGACACGTGGTCTTTCAGACTCCTGAAAGTATGTAAACATTTTGTATTTCAGACTAAACTTCGTAAATCTCCCTGCTTCCTCTTTCACATTAAAATTGGTACTGATCTCAGCTCGCTATCTTAGGTCTGCCTTGTATGATAATTGGTTCTGCATTTAATTATCAGAAAATGGAACAAGTAATGTGCACTACGAAAGTATGAATCCAGAACCCCGGATGCTGAATTCTTTTTATTTAGTGGCCAGGGGAGCAAAGGAGATAATACACAAGTGAGTAAATCTAAAAAGCAAGTTCGGTTAAAGTGATTAGCCTAAAATGTATTAGGTTCTTCTGCTGACGCACTGTATTTGTCACTTTTCTTACCAATGGTAGCTATCGATATTAAATTTTGGTGATTGTGAACTTTCATTGTAATTTATGAATAAAACACAGTCTGAGAAAGTTGTGGAAAAGTTTTAAACCCTGACTGAGCATTAGAATCCACTAGCAAAAAACCAAAAACCGCGATCATATTGGTTTCGGTCCAGGCTAATTTTAGTAAACGCCACATGGGAGTTCTGTGCCTTTTTATTTGTCGATGTTATCGAAACGGCTATATCGTATTGGTCTGTAAAGTGGCACTGTCCACGTCACTTCGCCTAATTAATTTTACTTAACCAGATCGTGGTTGGTCGTGAAGGCGCGCCCGGTAACCTTCGAGTTCACGGACGGGTTGTAGAAAAGGACGGCAAAAAGACGGCCTACATCTTGCTTAGAGGACTGAACATTCAAGACACACATGCCACCTTCACGCGACTGCAGGATGGCCGAATGGAGCTTTCTGTGGGCACAAACTCAACGCGGAGCACCAAAGTCAATGGGACCATTCTCACGACCTCTCAAATCCTAAAGCCAATGGACCGCATTCTCTTTGGTCAGGGCAAAATCGATAAATTTTTGTATTCCGCCTCAAAGTAAAGGGCAGAGATGCTCTTCATAATCATTTCATAAGGTGATCTCTGCATCGGCAATTCACAGCCATTTTGCGCATTTAAATTGTAACGCTTAGTTTCATTTAAAGTGGAACCATCGGGCTGGCAGATATCCCTTTTTTGAGTCAAAATAAAATATACATCATCGTTTTTAGGTTCATATCACCTTTATGTATACCACAACGAGTCTCAAAAAGCAAAAGGCATTCCAGACCACGTGGACTGGGATTTCGCCCAAAAGGAACTTGCAAAGTGTGAAGGTATAGATCAGTTCGATAAGGCAATGGGTGAAAACGGTGAGTCATTCCGTATGTGCTCATTTGGAATACTGCTACCACTAATCAAGTGTTTTTTATCCTGATTTTTCTTGTACGAGTAAATTAACCATTTCAAGAAAAACTCTTCCCATCTGGTTACGATTCAGCTTGGTAGAAAATAAATACTCGTGTATTTTCTCGGTGTCCCGATGCTTGGCAACCGCCGCAATGCTAGTCCGTGATAAAGAATACCTGACGACTATGACTTACAAAAAGGGCATTCTAATATACACACCATTTTGTCCTTGGAAGACACTTAGTGCACTCCTGGGTATGCTGGAACAGTGAATATTAGCACCCATTTACGCGTTAATTTTGCTTGCTTTCTCTGGCTATTGTCCAAAGTCCGAAATGTGTATACCGTACAGGTTGTACTTTTGTAGTGCATGTCTTGTTTTCATGACTCATAAATCTCAAATTTAGTCAGGATCTACACGTTATATCTCAATTTTTTGTCTTTCCTCATTTTAAGACTGAATAGGGACTTTATATTTCCCTTTTTTTATAGAAAGATGCGCATTGCAGCAACAACTGATTGAATTAATACCGATGTTGCAAGAAGTGAATTGCATTGCTAAAGAAATGGACAAGCGTCGGATATTTGACATCGTCCTTCTGCCACCGTTACTTCAGCGAACGATCTATGGCCAGCGTAAGACCACGAAGTATGTCATCACTTCCTTTTTCAAAGACATCCAGATAGTTCTACGCCTAATTATAAAACCCCAGCTACTCTTTAAGGTCTTACCGATCAAATTTGATTGATTCCAATTTTTAAGCTGATCAGAAATGAAGTTATACAACCTAGCCTTAAGGTCAGGTGTTTGTCTCAAAAAGGATTGCACTGCAGAAAAGTTTTAGTAATTATTTGAACCCAGTCCAGTTCTAAAAGGTTTTATTTTTGCCAACAAAACACTGACAATATTGGGATGAAAACTTTGCTACCGCATCAGGCATGACAAATCTTACTCCCTTGAAAGTTGGTATCTGATTCAAAGGCTTGCGAACAGTAAATTGTGTAGGATTTCACGATGCTGGTTTCATTTATTTTTTCAGAATAGTTGTCCGCATGAAGTGTTTGGAGACAGGAAATATTTGGATGTGGGAGCGAGGCAAATTCTTAAATCGTCGCTTTCTCATTCAGGTAGAGATTTACGTTTCCGAATTTTCAGCACGTTGATAAGAGCATCAATTACACAGTCGTTTAAGGTACAAATCATCACTTGTTTTCATTAGCGGTAGCATTTCTTTACTGAAATGGTCATTGCTACTAATTTTTATTAAACAGCGTGAAATTAAAGTGACTGCATACAGTGGCTAGTTTTTAGCTTCACTTGGAACTAAAGGGCCTTGTAATTGATTCTGTCGTGCAATATAGCAGTCTTCTATGTGCATGCTATAGCTAATGAGTGGTGTTTTGTCATTTTTTAATGAATTTAAATTATTTCAGTGAATTCATTTGAGCAGTAATAAATATATCGTAAGTTTCCATATTGCTAAGTATTTTAGCCAGTATTAACCAAATATAAACTAAGTTATTTCCTTTATGAAGTAAATATTCTGGCAGAATGTCATCAGAAACTCATTCTGGAAAATTTGGATGTTGAATTTTTCGACAGCAGAAATATCTCCTCGACCTACTATTAACTTGATTTACTCATGTAATTGCTGCTTGATCCATTTTGCACGCATAATATACTCAGGGCCATGATGTAATGGCACATTTTGGAAACGTGGAGCCTACAAAATACGGACGCGGTGTATTTAATCATCAGAGTCATGAATGATTACAAAAGTCTGCAAACGTGAACTTCATCTGTATTTTTGGGTGCACTGAGTCACATATTGTTACCATAATTCCTAATATCTCTTTTATGTCAAATTTTGAATCCGCTCAGTAATAAAAGGCGATGTTCAAGATGCCTATATGATTTCTTTATACGTTAAAAAACTTCTGCAGTTTTATAAAGGCATGTTTTTCGCCTTTTCAGGAAATGTATCATGGATTCGACAGTGAGGGTGATCAGGCAGTAAGGAAACAAGAGGACGACCCCTTTTGGGAGCCTCTAGAGCCCCTGCTTGTTGGGTTCGCTCCCGCTTTTCTCCAGCCACTTGCCTACGGCCTTGACTACGTTGATCGTGTGCAGATAAGTGACCTTGATGGGCAGTCGATCGGAAAGTTGTCGGTGAGTCTCCAGCCCTGCCTTCAGTCGGGTGCGGTG